CTTGAAGAGATCTCTGGTCCTCCCTATTCTATTGTTTTCTTCTATTTCTTTGCACTGTTCATTTAAGAAGGCATTCTTATCTCTTCTAGTTATTCTCTGGAATTCTACATTCAATTGGGTGTATCTTTCCCTTTCTCCTTTGCCTTTCGCTTCCCTTCTTTCCTCAGCTATTTGTAAAGCTTCCTCAGACAGCCATTTTGCTTTCTTGCATTTCTTTTTCTTTGGGATGGTTTTAGCTGCTACCTCTTGTACAATGTTGCAAACTTCCATCCATAGTTCTTCAGGCACTCTGTCTATCAGATCTAATTCTTTAAATCTATTTGTCACTACTGTATATTCATCAGGAATATGATTTAGGTCATACCTGAGTGGCCTAGTGCTTTCCCCTACTTTTTTCAATTTAAGCCTAAATTTTGCAACCAGAAGCTCATGATCTGAGCCACAGCCAGCTCCTGGTCTTGTTTTTACTGACTGTATAGAACTTCTCCATCTTTGGCTGCAGAGCACATAGTCAACCTGATTTCTATGTTGACCATCTGGAGATGTCCATGTGTAGAGTCGTCTTTTGGGTTGGTGGAAAAGAGTGTTTGCTATGACTATTGTATTCTCTTGACAAAATTCTACCAGCCTGTGCCCTGCTTCATTTTGTACTCCAAGGCCAAACTTGCCTGTTATTCCAGTTATCTTTTGTCTTCCTACTTTAGCATTCCAATCCCCCATGATGATAAGGACATCATTTTTTGGTGTTAATTCTAGAAGGTGTTGTAGGCATTCATAGAACCAGTCAACCTCAGCCTCCTCAGCACCAGTGGTTGGGGCATAGACTTGGGCTATTGTGATGTTGAATGGTTTGCCTTGTATTCGAACTGAGGTCATTCTGTCATTTTGGAGATTGTATCTCAGTACTGCTTTTCCTACTCTTTTATTGACTATGAAGGCTATTCCATTTCTTCTGATGGATACTTGCCCACAGTATACCTTATGGTTATCTGAATTAAATTCACCCATTCCTGTCCATTTTAGTTCACTGATTCCTAAGATGTTGATGTTCAGTCTTGTCATCTCTTGTTTGACCACATCCAGCTTGCCTTGATTCATGGAACCTACATTCCAGGTTCCTATGGAGTATAGATATTTGCAGCATCGGACTCTCCTTTCACCACCAGATACATCTGCAACTGAGTGTCCTTCCGGCTTTGACCCAGTCGCTTCATTCTTTCTGGCGCTACTAGTACTGGCCCTCTGTTCTTCCCCAGTAGCACATTGTACACCTTCCGACCTGAGAGGCTCATCTTCCGGCGTCATATCTTTTTGCCTTTTGTACTGTCCATGGGGTTTTCATGGCAAGGATACTGGAGTGGGTTGCCATTTCCTTCTCCAGTGGATCACGTTTTATCAGAGCTCTCCGTCCGCCTTGGGTGGCCCCGCACAGCATAGCTCATAGCTTCATTGACCTACACAAGCCCCTTCGCCACGACAAGGCAGTGATCCATGAAGGGGTCATCCTACAATTCCCAGTATGACCCAGCCCGCTATCCTGCTCGCAAGTGCAAGCTTACTCTCTAATTTAGCTTTCATCATGCAAAAACCAAACTCAGAAGGGGTAACTATGATTTGTGTTTGTGGGAAATATAAACTAAACCCACCAGTTAACGGAGCAATCATACATCAATGCACGAAAAAGTCCTGCCTTTCTCGGCATCCCCCAGTCTAAACACCTTCCACACAGACCCGTTTTTGTACTAGGGGTATGTAAAAGTAAATAGAGCCACCCCTCAAAAATTTATCCTCACAGCCTTCCCTTCCCGTAATGGCGGCCCCCTTGCAGACTTCAGCCCTTTCCCGGGGAACCACGTGACTCTGTTTCAGAGCCGTTGCATCAGCCGCACCAGAACCCAAGCTGCACCGTGACATTGTCAAATCCGCCAGTCGTGGGCGGTGCGAAACTGTCAGTCAGATTTTTGCCCAATAAAAATTCCTTCCTTTGCTCACACGTCAACGCATTGGGTGGGCTTAAAAAAAAGGAGTATCTTCTGCAGTAGGGTTTGGTTGCGCTTTTACAGCATTGCTGGAGCCGCTGGCGGAGGGGCAGGTAATAGGTGGCAAGGCAGGAAGCCTTTGGGCGAGGGGCGTTGGAGGCGTGGATAGGCAGGTGCATGCGGGGGCCCTCTGCGTTTTGGCCTGGCAAGGTTGTCCCCAGCTCTGGCGGGCGGGGGGAGGAGGCTGCGCAAGGGCCAACGCCGCAGAGCATTTTGGGAGTCTGGTTCGGCTTGAGAGGTGAGCCGCGGGGGAGCCCCAGAGACCCTTCCCCGGTTTACAAATCGATTTGATCACGGGCTGGGGCTGGGGCTGGGGGTGTGTCTCTGAAGGCGGGGAGCGCTGGCGCTTTGATTCGTGGCGCCAGCGGGGGGAGCGAGATGCCCCTATACACGTGTCTGGCGTGCTGGTGACCCATTTGCCTAATGCGGCGTGGCTGTCAGAGCGGAGAGATTCGAGGCCCCGGCCTTGCTTGTCCATGAAGATCACGGGGTGACTTTGGGTCGGTCCCAGACTCTCAGCCGACCTGCCTCACAGGGTTGTTGTGAGGATGAAATGGCGCTAGCTCAGGCACCCTGGGCTCCTCTCTAGCGGAAAAACCGCAGAATATAAATTCAATGTAATAATAAGTGTAACATAAATAAATGGCAAGGCATAACTCTTGTGTTGGATCTGTATTGCTCCATGCAAAGAAGCGTGGAAAATCTCTACACACTTTTACCGCTGATCAGAAACCCGGGGAGTGTTGTGGGTGATCAGATTCTGTTTGCCACGACAGAATGGACAAGCAGGTTACCATGTGATGCCATGCAATACTGCAGCTGCGTTTTGCCTCGTGGCAGATTGTCACCAGTGTTCACCTAGTGAATTACATTTTTTTGTTTGTTTTCTTTCTGGTGCTTCCTTTCTGTCTCGGGTCCAGGCAGTTTGTTTTCCTTGCATAAGGGCTTATGCTGCTGCCCTTATGTTCCTTATGGAATCCTCTACTCTGCTAGGGTCATAGTTCAGACAAGGGAAATTGCTGTTCTGTAGCTGAAGAATTTTTTATGTATATGCAGGTAATTTCAGTCTATGGCATGGGGGCAGTAGGTAATTTATGTCAGCCTGCACCACTCTTTTCCACCCAACTCCCACTGGTGTATCTGGAGGGTCTAGTAGGTCCTACAAGCCTGAAGCCTGCTCATGCTTGGTTTAGAGGGTGCTTCTGACTGACTTTGGAGATCACAGTGGGAAGCTTTTCCTTGCTCCTCAAACTTTCTGGAAAGTCATGGTCCTTATAATTTGTTAATAATTATAATTACTAAAACAACAACACATTTTATCTCATCTCTGAACCAGTGTGGCGGAGTGGTTAAGAGGGTTAAGAGAACTGTTCTAGGCCCCACCCAGCCATGGAGCTCACTGGATGACTTTGGTGGGATATAAATTAAATAATTTTAACTATGCAAGAGCTACAACTATGCAAGAGCACCGACATTCCTTCTGTAGGTGCTGCAGCCTGTTCCTGTACAGAATTTTCCATGCTTCCTTAAAGTCCTTTGTTTTCTCTTTCTCAACAGTGCTGAGTGGCAGTCCCAAAATGGAGATGACACTAACAGCTAGCGAGATCCGCCAACGGTTCATCAACTTTTTTGTGGAGAACCAGCACACCTATGTGCACTCTTCTGCTACCATCCCCCTGGATGACCCTACCCTACTATTTGCCAATGCTGGGATGAATCAGGTCAGGCAAGATAGATATCTATAAAATTATGAACGGTATGAAGAGGGTAAATGAGAAAATTTCCTCCCCTCTCTCATCATGCTAGAATTCCGGGTTGACCACTGATGTTTGATTAGCTGCAACTTTAGAAGAATCAGTAGGGAGTACTGTTTCTTATAATGCATGGTTAGCTTTTAGAATTGAGCACTACAGGGTGCAACGATATTACAATATTTTATTGTATTGTATTTTGTGTTGTGAGCTGCCCCGAGGCTTCGGCAAGGGGTGGCATAGAAATGTTTTAATAAATAAATAAATAAATAAACTATTGACACTGCGCATTTAATATCTTTACCTCCCAGTTCAAACCCATCTTCCTCAACACAATTGACCCCTCTCATCCCATGGCAAAGCTGACACGAGCTGCCAACACCCAGAAGTGTATTCGGGCAGGTGGGAAGCACAATGACCTGGATGATGTTGGCAAGGATGTCTACCATCACACGTTCTTTGAGATGCTGGGCTCATGGTCTTTTGGCGATTACTTCAAGGTACGGTGGCGATATCGCAGGCAGTCTTTAGCAAGTACTGAAAGGGTAATGCTTGATTAATCCAAATGGCAGAGGCAGCCTGATCTCATGTATACACAAAAGAAATTCCGATGTTCCTGCCACTCTAAGGTTTTTAGGTTGTTGTGGTGCAAAAGTTTTGTTTCTTGCAGAATTCAGAATAATGTAGTGTTAAAAATATAGTATTGGAGGACAAAGTCTGAAATGAAGCATTAATGGATGAGGATATGCTATGGGAGATGGGAAGAGAGAAAATACAGGGATCTGCCCATTCCTCTTTTCTGGTGGTGGTGGCCACTGTAGAATCTGAATCACAAACTGGTGTGTTAAGGGTACAGCCCTGTGTATGTTTAAACCAAAATCGTCTCACAACACAGCTAGTTGAAGAACGCTGGGGGTTATAGAAGGTTTTTCTGTCTGGACATGCATACAACTGTATTTTAAAATTCCAGTGAAAAGCTAGGAGGTTATTCAAGCCTTCCATTACTTGTTTTCTTTCTTCCCCCCAGGAACTGGCTTGCAGATTTGCCCTGGACCTCCTCACCAAAGAGTTTGGCATCCCCATGGAAAGGCTTTATGTTACTTACTTCGGTGGTAATGAGGCAGCTGGTCTGCAGCCAGACTTAGATTGTAAACAGATCTGGTTGGATTTAGGGTGAGTTGAAGCTGCTGAAAGAATTAATTTTGTGACTTGGACAGCAAGAACCACCCCTGCTCCTCTGCGTGTGAAATGATATATGGCTAGAGGCCATCATGGTTTTTCTGTTGTTTTCCATGAAAAAGTCAGGGAAACAAAATGCAGAGAAGCATAAACAGAATCACAGGAACCTGTTCACGGATTCTCTTCTGCTTTCTCCAAACTTTGCCTCTTTCTTCCATGTAGTGGGAGGGCACACTTAAAGCTAACCATGGTTTAAATCTCCCATGAGACCAGAAGGAGGAATAAGCCAGGTTTCAGTTTCATTTAAGTATTTCTGACTTGTTATTATATGTGAACAAGGTATCCTAGTTTAAAATACACTCTAATCAATAGCTAAACAAGCCAACTGCAAACTCTGGTTTACTTTGCTTGCTTGTTTAACATAACTGGAGTTTGCTTTTTTGAACAAAAATCCTGGCAATTAAATTCTTGGAAATGTTTGGAGAAAGCAGAAAGTACTTTATATCATGGTTTCTGTGCTTCTGTTATGCTTCTGCATTTAAAAGCCAGACAAGTGCAATAGCTAAAAGAAAACGTAATTCTGATTTTTCTTTTTCCCTTCATGGAGGGAGAGGAGCATGCCAGTTTGGAGTTCTCTGTGGGCTTTTCAAAGCTCATGCATATAATGCTAAGCTATGGTTCTATGATCAGACAAACTGCCTTATATATGTTAATGTGATGAAAATCTCCTTTAAAATAAGAACCTACAGAGAGCTCTGCTGGATCACACCAGTGGTCAGTCTAGTCCAGTATTTGTTCACACAGTTGCCAACTCGCTGCCCACAGACTCCCCCAAGCAGGACAGGAGTGCCAGAGTTTCTCACGGACTCATGCACATAGGCATATTGTGTCTGCTACTGACGGTGGCGTGTAACTATCAGAACTAGGCCTGATGTTAATCTTCTCTTTTGATAATTTGTCCAAAATGGGCATCAGCTGGTGGGGTCTAGAGTTTAAAGATCTGGCATATTTTAAGCTATTATCTTTAAACCAGTTCAATGGACCTGTGGCTTACAGACTCTCCTGTGTGCTGCCTTCTCATTCACCGAGCATTTCTTTCTTCACAGTCTGGCAGAAAGCAGGATTCTTCCAGGCAGCATGAAGGACAACTTCTGGGAAATGGGAGATACAGGGCCATGTGGACCTTGCAGCGAGATACACTATGACCGGATTGGAAACCGGGATGCTTCACATCTTGTCAATCAAGATGATCCTAATGTGCTGGAGATCTGGAACTTAGTGTTCATCCAATTCAATAGGTGCTTCAAGCATTTATTTCCTTTCCCTGGCCGTTTGTGTGCGCGCATGTGCGTGAACATACGTGTGTGCCCGCATGAGCATTCCTTTCTGCTTTTCAGTCAGTATAAAGATAATGCAGAATTCTTTTCATTCCCTTTCCCACCTGCCCCCAAATCCTCACCTCCATCTTCAGTGGGGAATCTTGAAAATAATAGTCCAGTGCACAATAATTTCAAGTATTTTTACCCACAGCAGCTCACATGTAATCAATATGCTTGCAGGCATGTCTTTTAAAAAATATGGCACAAAAGGGAAATGGGATAGAAGGGGGAAAGCAGGGGAAAGCAGAATTCAGGCACCACTTCTTAAAGCTGAATGGTAGTTCTTGTAATGATTAACTGGAATGCAAGCAGTTCAGGGAAAGGATGAGCTGGTCTGTCAACAGAGCTGATGGAATGAGTTTTACTTTCCGTTTTTGTCTGCTGCATCTTCATGGAATGGCTGTTGCCATGTGGCCACTGAGAAAAAATCCTGATGAAGTTGTAGCTGCAGTATCATATTGATGCGTTTTAGTTCTCCCTTTGTCTATTAAAGCAATTCAGATATCTGGTCCCATGAATTTTAGCCTCATTGACCTACCTACAAATATATTTTGGCCCTTACAGCTTGCCTGTTTTTTCTCAGGAGGGTATGAACCATATTTCATGACCCAGAGAGGATTAGTGTGCCAAACACTGAAGACAACTTGTCCCAGACCTCTTACTTTTCAGAAGGGATTTTCTTTGGTTAGCAAGCAGATTATTACCTCTGGATTTGCCCTGTATTGGCTTCCACTTGCGCTTCCCTTTATTATGCTAACTAGCAGATTTGTTTTTCTTAACTTGCTTTTGAGAACAAGGGAAAAGTGAATCATTGTTTGCATTTCCTGTGTTTATACTGGTGTACTTTTCTTTCCTTCACTAGAGAGGCTGATGGGACCCTGAAAGCCCTCCCCAAGAAGAGCATTGACACTGGCATGGGCCTGGAGAGGCTGGTGTCTGTGCTGCAGAACAAGATGTCCAACTATGATACAGACCTCTTTGTGCCTTACTTTGAGGCTATCCAGAAGGTACCAGTCCAGATGCTCTGCATGCATTGATATGTCAATGAGGAAGATTGTCTCTGGATAGTATTTAGTTAGTCATAGCATTTTTACCGTCCCCTTCAGTCAGAAAAGGCTTCCCAAGAAACTTGCAGAGGGTAATAATGAGACAGTCCCTGTGCTCACAGTCTAAAGACATGACACAAAGGGAAAAGGTATTATTAGAGAATGGGGGTGGAGAGCAAAACTGGGGCATCAGTTCTTGCAGCGAGTGGCAAAACAAGCTCCTTTGGTGTAGGACATTACTTACCATTGTTCTAAGCTTATTAAAATGGGCTTTCTTAAAATCCAGGGTATGTGTGTGGCTACATTTGGCTTTTGCTTCTTTTAGAACCAAGAATTCAAGTACGGCACGGTCACTTTCCCCCTGAGTTCCTGTAGCTGCCACTTTGTCCACTAGGTCTTCCCTATTGGTCAGTGTCAAGTCAAGGACAGCTGTTCCTCTTGATCCTCCCTCCGCTTTTTGTGGGAGGAAGTTCCCAGTAACACATGTTAGGAATCTCTTGGAGGGGCAGAATCTGTTGGTAATTTGACTCACAACAGATATTGGGGAAATTGAAATCCCCGTGTGGATGATACCACACTGGCAATTCCCTAAAACTTTAAAGTCTAATGTAGTTTTTTCAAAGCTGTTCCTGGCAGTGTCATTTATTCCCACATGTATATGAAGGAATGTTAGTGGGCTGTAAGAGCCTTGGTAATCTTTCAGTTATAGCACTTATCTGTCCTCCAGGGATGCCATGGACCTGACAAGTCCATGGGTCTTCCTGACATGCATGTATTTCCATCCCACGTAACAGGAAGTCTCCCACAATGAACACCCTTCTCTTCTTGATCTTGTGAGCCTTGGTATCATTGTCTTGGCATCATTGGCTGACCTTTTGCCTCTTGTTCAGTATCGCACAGGATGACTTGTAGTTCTTCCACTGCAGGCTGCCCTCCAGTCCCATCCCCGAGTACTGAAAGCAGTTCTGTAGCTCCCCTGCTTCCACTGGTGCAGAATGTCTTGGAGGTCTTCCGCTCCTAACTGTCAGAGAGCTTCCTCTTCATTTTCCCTTCCCTCTGTATTCCCCTCTTGTTCCTCATCTTGATGTTGCACTTCTAGCTTCTGTCCTCCACTTGGCTGTTGCAGTTCCACCGCTCTGTCTAAACATTCTCCATCTTCTTTTATTTCCTTGAGGATGGACACTCGGTGCTCTAGTGCTCTCACCTTTTCTTCTAATGGGATTGCTAGCTTGCACTGGCCACACATGTAGCTCATGTTGGCCTCCGACCAGAAAACAAACCGTGCACAGGCATTGCAGGTCACCGCCACTGGGGACTCCTCTCAGCCATCGCTTTCTGCTGCCTTCTTGGTTCTAGCCTCTGGGGTCTGTTGTGACAACTACCGCTTTCTCCTGTCTCCTGGAAGCTTAACAACACAGTCCTTCTAGTAAATGGGAGTGTGTTATAAGGAAGGAAATGGGGAGGAGGGCTGTGGGGGGGAGAATGTTAAGGACCGCCCCTTTGACCTCCTCTGTCCAACTCCTGTTTGCTCTCCCTGTTGACCCACTCTCATCACTGTCTCCCGGGAGCTTGGCTGCTTGTATCCCAGAGGCCCTAGACCAGCTGGGCAGCCTCCTCAGATGTCCTAAGCTAGGAGTCAGGAACCAGGAAAATGTGAAGAAGCCGGCTCTGCCCCTGACTTTCTCATGCTCATGGGGAAACTGTAGAGGGGAGCTATACCTAGGCTGAGCTGACCGCTGCTGCAGCTCTTCATGCAACTGGGCTGCAGTTTCTAATGTCCACCTAGAGCTTGCCTGCCTTCCTCATTTCCAGAGCTGCTGTCGGTACTAATGTCAAGTGGGAGATGGGGGTGACTGTCCTGGCCAATAGGCCAGAAGACCTTAACAAAAACTCATACTGCCCCAAATCTCCCACACTGCTCCCTACCCCCATCCATTCTCTCCCTCTCTCCATCATTTATTTCTTCTCCGTTGTAGGGCACTGGCTGCAGGCCGTACATGGGCCGAGTTGGTGAGGAGGATGACGATGGCATAGACATGGCCTACCGTGTCCTGGCTGACCACGCCAGGACCATCACGGTGGCACTTTCCGACGGTGGAAGGCCTGATAACACCGGCAGGGGGTGAGGACACATGCAACTCGGCTGCTCCGTGTGGGGCTGCGGTGTGGAGCTGGGCAAAGAGGGGTTGGACTTTGACTAAGCTCATGCAGGAATTAATTCCCACATGAATTCATCCAGCCCCCGGGATCATTTCATGGGACCAGCTTTGTGTCCTGGCATCCCTAGAAATCTGTTCAGTCGGGAGGCAGGGGATGGCCTTTTCCGTGGCTTTCTCGGCTCTAGAACTTCTTTCTTAGGGAGCAAGAGCAGCAGTTGTCTCTAATGTTGTGATGTTATGCTGTATTGTAGCACATTTGTATTATCATTTATTTCTGCTATTGTATCTGTTTTTATGAATTGCTGTGAATTGCCCAGAGAGCTTCAGCTGTTGGGCAGTAAGGAAGTGAAGTAATCATGTAAGTTTTTATTAGCTGCTGCTGCTGCTGCTAAAGCTACTGCTATGAAAGGCAGTGGCAACGGCTTCATATCCCACCTTTTTTCCTTTTATAGGAAAGCTTTGGGTAATACATGATTGCTTCTTTTTTTTTTTTTTTTGAAGTGGTTTTAACTGCCATGGCTAAAATTGCATTTCATGGTTGCTGTAATTTTTTCCTTAGCTGTTTTTGCACATCCATGGCTGCTTTGCTGTATTCCCTGCTGTTGTCCTGTGGGTTGAAAAAGTTACTGTTTTGACCTGCATGGTTAGCTGCCCTGGATTCACTGAAGAAAGCAGAATATATGTAGGGCTGAAAGTCATGAGAGTGGAACTCTGCGTATGGCTTAGGGCCTGTTTTCTAGAAAGAAGTTGCACAGATGGCTCTTACAGGGTCATCCTCCTGAGCTACAACTCCTGCCTGGGTGAGCGAGGTGTGCCGGGGATGGCCGCCACACATCCTTGTGAAACACGGCAGTGTGAGCTGCTGATCTTAGCAGGCGTGACTGACTCACAGGTTAAAGTGAGTTTGGAGCTTGTTATCCTAGACTAACTGTTGAGGTGAATGGTCTCTTAACTGGTCAGTGAATGAGCCAGTGAGCCAATGAATCTTGGTTCTGGGGTGATTCTAATCTGCAGAGTGCAGGTGAGACAAATTTCTGCTTTCTGTTCCCTCTTCATAGGTATGTTCTGAGGCGCATCCTTCGACGTGCTGTGCGGTACGCTCATGAAAAGCTCAACGCCCCCAGGGGGTTCTTTGCCACACTGGTTGACGTCGTGGAAGAGTCGCTGGTAAAAGGAAATTCTGTTCTTTTGCTGCTGCTCTTGAGGCTTTCCTGTTCCATGGAATGCTGAGAGAAAGAGAGAGGTGGTGTTGAATTGCAGTAACAGCTCCTGTTCCTCTCAGGGCGGTGCATTCCCTGAACTGAAGAAAGACCCAGAGATGGTGAAAGACATTATCAATGATGAGGAGGTTCAGTTCTTGAAGACACTCAACAGAGGGCGGCGCATCCTTGACAGAAAGATTCAGAGCTTGGGGGACAGCAAAATAATTCCTGGTATGAAAGAAATAGCCATCATGCACAGCTCTGGCCTATGAATAGCTCCCATTGACTGAAGGAAGAGAGCCCAACCGCACCACAGTTCTGCTTGGAAAGAGAGGGTCCTACAGCCAAGGTTGCTAGTCAGTCTGAGTGGGTGGAGCTGGAAGGGAATATTGCAATTCAAGATGGTATGATTAGTAATTCTTTCAGTATAATAAGTATATTCTTTTAAGTGTTCATTATTCTGTAAGTAGAATTGTCTTTTTATGGGAGCAGAAAATAGAGGATTGATACCCAGGGAATGGAAGAGAATTCTAGCTTCCCCTGTATGCCTTACCAAGCAACAGGAGAGGAGCCTTCATTTTCACACTTAGACCTACACCAGAACATGTGTTTTGTTTCAGTTGCTTCTTTCTTCATCTCTGCTTGTGCGATAAGTAGCCATCTCTGTGAATTTTCTTTGCTTCTCTGAGCAGGCAACATGAAAAGGGGAAAAGGACCCCAGTGCCGGTGATAATCCTAGCAGATTGTTATGCATGTGCATACTGTATCTTTAAGCATTTTGGAGGAGCTTCCAAGGAAAATGCAAATATTCCATAAGTAGCAAGCTGATTTTTCTATAAAAACAATCCAAAGAACCAAAGGAACAAAGCTTGCTTTCTTTTCACATGCAAAGAGTTGGGACAGTGATTCTACAGTTGCAATGAGTGAATATGCCTCACCCTCTGGTATCAGAGACTCCCAGGAGCTTTTGACTGGCTCTTGCTTGGGTGCAGTTTGGAGAGGAAAACAGTAGGATTTTATCTCAGTCCTTCGGTTCTTACCCAAGTCTTGAGCAGAAGTGCTGGAAGACCCAGTCCTTTGTGCGTGATGACTCTGTGCTGAAGGCCAGTTTGTGTTCACTTATATTTTTATTCACTCTTCGCTCCTGGAAAAGGAGAGAGCACACAGATATCTGTCTCACAGTTTCATTGCTTATCCAGCCCTTTACACCAGTAAGGCAAGACCATTCCTAGCCCTGGTGCCTTCTGTTCTCATTAGAGGGATCAGGGAATTAGTAGCAAGGAGGTCTGGCTAGTAAGCCAAAGCAGTATTTGTGAGCCTGCAGAAATCTTGTAAAGAGGAAGTTGCTTGGGCTGGCTTGACTATTAGTTCCTCCGCTCTCTTCTCCAGGGGATACTGCCTGGCTGCTGTATGACACCTATGGTTTCCCCGTGGATCTCACTGGGCTTATTGCCGAAGAGAAGGGCCTGCAAGTAGACATGGAGGGCTTTGAAGAGGAAAGGAAGACTGCCCAGGTGGGCCTTGATTGTCAGTTTCAGCTGCAATCCTATGCTTTTTATGCAGAAAAAATGTCCTAGGAAGCATTTATCTCAAGAACTGCATTCTTTTAAGCACACCAAAAACGGTAAAACAAAATTGGGTGGGGAAACCGTTTCCTTCAGATGTTCATGAATGTGAACTCCCATTATCCTTCACAATTGGCTAAGCTGACCAGGTCTGATGGGAATTTGAGTCCAACAATATTTGGAGGCTCCCAGCCCCAGTGATAAGTATATGTTATAAATAGCAACACAACTAAAGCCATTTACTTTAAATGTATATTGGTGGTTTTAGTTGTGTATTCACACTTTTGTTTCTTAGTCCCTTAAAATCTGACACTCCTACAATAGATTTCACTGCTAGAACACCTGCTGGGTTCTATTTTATATAGTGACTAGGTTCAGACAACTCAGTAACCCACCTTTGGGTTGAGTGTGGGTTGTTATTGAAATAAGTTGTTGAAAGGTGGGTTATCATATTGACTGGACCGAGCTGAGAGAACAAATCATGGTGGATTGCAAACTGTGGGTTCTCGGGTCGTTGCAGTTAACAGGCAGTGGCTTCTTTGTGCCGTCTCAGCCAAGCTGCACTGTGACCCACACAGCTTAACGACAACCCACCCCCAACCTGTACTCAAACCATGAGGGTGGGGTATTCTGTTGTCTGTATTTCTTGTGGTTTTATACTGTCTTGTATTACCACTTGGAAATGTCTCTTTAAATGATTTATACACATCAGTAAGGAAAAACAGTCTACATTACTTGGGGCAGGAAGGTTGTTGCATGTAGTGCGCATCTTGAAAGGCACATAGCTGGGGAGGGCATAGGACACACAAATCACACACATCCCTTGCATGCCAAAGGCCTCATGTTTGATTCCCAGCCTCTCCAGGCAAAAGCGCTCAGTTAGAGATCTCTGCCTGAGAGCTAGGAGGACCAGCAACCATCAGCAGAGATGGCCAGCTGTTCCGACACCACACGAGGCAGCTTCACGTGGGTGCCTGTGAGGCCCAGGATGTAACCTGGGAGCAACAGCTGCTGCAGCTTTGCCAAAACATGGCACATCCTTCTCCAAGGTGGTGCCATTCAGGTGTTTGGACCCCACCCACACACGCTTCACCCCCTCCACCATTGCTCATGTGGGTATGACTGATGGGGAGCTGCAGTCAAAAACATCTGGCAGGTACCAGATTGGAGTTGACTTGCTTTCCAGGAGTTTAATTGACCTGCAGTTTGAAAGACACCAGGAGCTCTATGTGCAGAGCAGAATGCACAAATAATAGATCCTTAGACGATGATGATAATAAAACAATCTAAGCGCCCTGTGGGGAAGGCATCAAGAACAAAACCAAATACAGTTTGGCTAACTTTTTGCCAGAGGAACCTATGTAGAAAGAAATGGCTTGGATTTCATTCAAGCAGCAATGCACTTACGAAGAACTGGTTTGCCCAGTGGAAGTCTGTGTCAGTAAGACTCAGTGAGTCAAGTTTCTGTGCAGTCTTTTTTTGGTGCTTCAGACAAATACGTTTTCCCTATGCCAGCCTGAGAAAATCTTCACATGTACAGAACAAGTGGTACCAGCACTGGCTGTTGACTGCTCCCCAATCCTTCTTTCATAGTTTCTTCAGAATTGCTTTCAGTCCAGAAATTACTTTGGATTCAGCCCTTCTGACCCTAATTCAGAGGCGCTGGTAATTGGACGGCATACCAATTTCATAAATAAATAAATAATCTCTTGGCAAGAGGTGGAAAGCTCAGATGGCTCTTCCAAGTCCCTTCTCTGTGTCCAAGCATAGCTTTGTTGATCAGCCTGCTCTCGCCCTCTCCTGTCCCCTTTTCCTCCAGTTGCTGAACATGGCTAGGACACCATGGGTTTGTGGGGGGCTCCTGTGCCTGCTTTTCATCCTTGGGTTTGTTTCGCTCCCAGCTAAAGTCCCAGGGCAAGGGAGGTGGCGATGAAGATTTCATCATGTTGGACATCTATGCGATTGAAGACCTCCGCTCCAGGGGCTTAGAGGTCACAGATGACTCCCTCAAGTACAGCTACTCATCGAATCCCAGTGGCACCTATGGTAGAGTCTGTTCTCTTCCCTCTTATTCGCTGCATGTCCCCTCTTGCTGGCTTGATGTGATAACTTCTGTGGCACATAGCTTTTTAGCCCTTTTCTAACCCCTGTTTTCCTTTGCATGCCCCGGCTAACCAAGAATGTGAAGAGCAGTTAATTAGGAGGATCTAGATTTCTCTTCTTGAATAAGCATATTCAAATTGGAGAATGACTTCAGAATTTTTGGCCCTGGTTTAATTTGGTCTCTGATTAAGACACGGGTGTTGAATTTCTTTCAGCTTGAGGCCCACATTCCATTTTGGAGAAGCTCTTTGGGGCCACTTTCCAGTCATGTTGGGGCCAAAGGCAAAAGGGGCAGAAGCTAAAAACCGGGCATTGGTGAGAGTGCCAGACAGGGACCTTGGAGCCCCAGGTTCTATTTCCCGCTCCACGATGAAGCTCATTCAGTGACTTGGGGCCAGTCACTGGCAGCCTATCCTACCTGGCAGGGCTGCAGTGAGGAGAAAACAGAGGGGAAGAGGACTGTAAACCACCCTGAGTTCCTTACAAGGAAGAAAAGGTGGGATAGTGAAAAGGTGGGATAGAATTGTGATAAAAACTGGCTTATTTTAGTTTCAAGCTCCCACTGCCATTAACAAAGCTATAGAGGCATTTGCACATTTTAGAATGGGGCAAAAAACTACAGAAGCCAGGAAGCCACCCAATAATCCGTGGTTGGGGTTGAAAGGGGGATGGGAGTAGGTCCATCTGAGGGATCCCAGAGTTCTCAGCCCAGTCTCTGCATCCCTGCTTTAAGGGCAAGTGTCATAGATATATGGTAGAACAGGTGTTTTGCATGTAGAAGGTTCCATGTTCAATGCGTGGCATCTCAGCTAAGGCTGAGAAGGCCTTTTGTCTGAAGCCCACTGCCAGTCGGGATAGACGTTACTGGGGGAGCTGATCAGCAGTCTGATTCTGTAAAAGTTCCCTTCCAACATCCTCCAAAAGGAAGTGTTTTAAGACTGCCATGGACAAAACTAATATTTAGGGAAGTTTCTTAGTCATTTTTTCATTCTTTCTCAAAGAGGGGCTTTAAAGCAGCTGGGGATTCTCTGGCGCTTTGAACAAGAGCCACATTTTCCATCCCAGACATCTCTAGTCTGCCAGCATAAGCCCTGCTGACTCTCCTGTTTTGCTCTTGCTGCTACCACGCATGATGAGGAGGCTCTTGCACTTCTAACCACACCTTTTCCCCATGTGCAGAGTTTGACAGTCCTTTGGCCGTGGTGAAAGCCCTCCGCCGGGAGAAGACGTTTGTGGAGGAGGTGTCTACAGGCCAGGAGTGTGGGGTTGTACTGGACAGCACCTGCTTCTATGCAGAGCAGGGAGGGCAGATCTATGATGAAGGCTACCTCGTTAAGGAGGATGAAGGCAGCGAGGACGTAAGTTGGGCTCGGAGGCTGCCCTGATAACCTCACTGCTCAGGCTCTCTTGGGTGGAAGACGTTTGTGGGCCGCAGGCTGCTCCCCTTCTCTTGCATGTTAGGATTTTTGCTCCAAGATCGGAGCATTGCTACAGTTTCTGGAACTCTCCATTGTCCCAGCTTTTCAAGATCTGTTTTCCTTCACATCCAACGTGATTTTTCAGCTGTACATAGGAGGGTTTTATCCATTTCTGTGCACCTTCAGAGATGACGTAGTTGGTAGCCGGAAAAAAGCCGGCTCCACGGTGGTACTCCAGCCGTGGCATTTCATGGAGAAATGTATGAGGTGTCAATATCATCATTTAGATGCCATGTCCGGGGTGTCTTAGGATGCAATCCTATGCATGTTTCGACAGAAAAGGAGTCCTACAACGCCAAGCCTTTCTCAGCAGGATGTTTTTCTGTCAAAACATACATAGCTTTGCACCCTTATTCACCTTGCCTTTTAGTGGCTAGGATGCATTGTCTTCTGTTTATCCATTTATTGTTGATTTATTGACTTGCTGATTGTTGCTGATGCTTCTGTTTGGTCTTTTGCTTGGGACTTTTTGTTCATTTGCTTGCTTTTTTGTACTTTTTAAGACTTCTTAACATGCTGGTTTCATTCTCGATTCTACATCTGCAAGTTGCTTTGTAGCTGAAAAGTGGCATAAGCATGCATATTTAAAACAAAGTATGTATATCTTTACTCTTGGTGGGAGAGTGAATTATGCCATCTGACAGGATTTCCTACCTTGCTCTTGCTTGTTTTCGATTTCTGCAGAAGACAGAGTTTACCGTGAAAAATGTACAAGTGCGTGGAGGTTACGTGCTCCATGTGGGCACAGTCTATGGAAACCTGAAAGTGGGAGATACCGTCCGACTGTATGTTGATGAGGTGGGTGACTCTTGAAAAAGGGGAAAACTCTTTGGCATTTCCTGCTAGGATCCAATCCCATCCCTCATTAATTCATTTCATTATGTGTTTGTGCTTGTTTTCTCAAGAGCTCAAAGGGGTGCACTTGTCTCTCCCCCACCACCCATTTTATCTTCACAACCCTGAGGGAGAAGGTTGTGCTGAGATAGTGACTAGCCGAACATTACTCAGTGAGTTTGTGGCTGAGTGTGGGCTGAAGACTGAGGGCCTGAATCTGATACCTTCCATGTCTTGGACTGCAGCTCCTGCCATTCCTGGCCGGTTTCCATGCTGGACAGAGGTGGCAGGCGTTACAGGCTAAACCATCTGGAAGGCGCCAGTGCTGAGGAATCTGCTCTGAAGACTTCACTGTGATACATGTGAGAGAGCCCCATGTGGTGTAGTGGTTAAGAGTGCAGGACTGGGACTCAGGCAGTCTGGGTTCTAGTTCCCACTGCAGCTGTGGAGCCAAGTGGGTGGCTTAGGGTAAGGCATGGGCTTTCAGCCCAACCTGCCTCACAAGGTTGTACTTGTGGATAAGACTGAGAGCAGGAGGAGGAGAATGATGTAAGCCTCTTTGAGTTCTTTTAAAAAGAAAAAAGGCTATAACTGGACTAGACTTTAATCTGCTTCAGAGGCCCTCCCTTGGCTGTCTCTGACAGCTGATGGGAGATGGGCGGTGACATCAGAAAAGGTCTTCTCAGTGGTGGCACCTCTGCTTTAGAATCCTCTTACCAGGGATGTTTGCCTAGCATTTAGTTTGGTGTGTTTCATACAACAGGCTGAGTGGTTCTTCGTTAGGCTAGTCCTGAATACATTTTCACTGAATAAACATTTTACTTTTGTTTGATGGGGGAGAGGGGTTAATGGCTGCTCCCATTGTGTTTGGCTTTCTCAAGGGAAAAATAGGTTTTAAATTTGGAGTCTTTTTTATTGTTTGCATCTTTCATTAACTTTGTGATCATCTAGTGGGATATAATTGAGTTTAAGAAAATAAGATGGTGCCACCGGGAGATGAGCGCTTAAGAGCTGTAGAGCGTGTGTGCTTAGGCATGCAGGACTGATGCACTACAAAACGAAGGCCAAAGCAAGATGGTGTAGCTTTGAACCATCTTCCAGTGGTTCACACACACATTTTCACTGCTTGATGACTCGCATGTGCAAGTGAGTCATTGTGGACCTAACACCACAAGTAACACTTACCTGTCAGTCTGTTTCAACTCCTGTACAGTGCTCTTGAATGGGCTCAGCTGTCCGTCATAAATAACAAAGGGCAGAGGGCTCCATTCGCAGGCCGTGTATCAACAGCCTGGCTTTAGACCAGGCCCCCCTACTTGTTTTGCATTTGTAGCTTTCGTGTGCTGCCCCATAATGCAACATTCTCCGGGCAGCTCTGAAGAAGCGCTCTCTCCCCGCCCACCCCAATTCACATCCACCCATGCCTTGCAGGCGAGGCGGAGGCCCATCATGAGCAACCACACAGCTACCCACATCCTCAACTTCGCTTTGCGCGCTGTGCTGGGAGAGGCCGACCAGCGGGGCTCCTTGGTCGCTCCAGACCGGCTGCGGTTTGACTTCACAGCTAAGGGGGCCATGTCAACTCAGGAAATCAAGAAGACAGAAGAGATTGCTAACCAAATGATTCGGGAAGCCAAGGTACGTTGGGGTGGGAACTAGTCTCACTGCAGTGTGAAGGCTGGCATGGAAGTCTACCTGGTGCTCCAAAATTGTCTATCATGCAAAGCCAGCCTTGTATGTTAAGAACTTGCCTGGTCTTGGTGAGGAATTCAGTGCAGGCAAGTGAGTTGTAGAGGAGGAGTGAACTGCTCCATGCCTCTTCGACTTAGAAACAGAGCGAGTCAGAAGGGGCCTCCCGGGCCATCTAGTCTGACCCCTGGCACTAGCTGGCTCCACTCATGACATGCCTACCATGTGCATGTCTAGCTTATCCTTGAACACCCTTACCACTGGGGTTCAACCACCTCCTGTGGAAGCCCATTCCACACCCTCGGGGTCCTAACTGTCAGGAAGTACTTCCTGGCATCCAAATTGAACCTTGGTTCCCTGAGCTTTGCTCTGTTGGGGAGAACAGATCTCTACCCCCCTTTGCATGACACCCCTTCACATACCTGTCTGTCACTAACAGGTCCCCTCTGAGTCTCCTCTTCTCGAGGCTGAAAAGGCCCAGTTCCCCCAGTCTTGCCTCATACGGCTTTCCCTGCAATCCGGCCACCATCCTTGTGGCCCTATACTGCACTGATTCCAACCTGGCTATATCCTTCCCGTAATGAGGGTCCCAGAACTGAACACAATACTCCAGTTGCGGGCGCACCAGAGTAATATAGAGTAATAGTAATACCTCTCTCAATCTAGAAGCCACGCTTCTGGCTATGCAACCAAGGGTGGCATTCGCCCTCTTGCCCACTCGCCTTCCAAGTGAAGTTCCTTCTACCCTGGCCAACACAGAACATGCAATAGGGAGTGCAGCTGGAGGAGGGAGGGATCTGCCCTTCCTTTGCTGACCCCAGCTTGCTCTTGACCCCACTGCTGTCAATTCCTCAGGTCGTGTACGCCAAGGACTGTCCCCTGGCTGCTGCCAAAGCCATCCAGGGCCTGCGAGCAGTGTTTGACGAGACGTACCCTGACCCCGTCCGCGTTGTCTCGATCGGCATACCCATAGAGGACATGCTGGCTGATCCCTCCAGCGCTGCGGGTGCCATTACATCTGTTGAGTTCTGCGGAGGGACGTGAGTACAGCCATAGGGACTGGGTGAAGCCATGGACAGAGTGGTGTTCAGCACAGGTCTAGTCTGTAGAACAGAGACATTTATAAATCACTGTGTGCCATCTCTCTCCTTTGCATCTGCTGTATCTTGTTCATCTAGGTTTGCAGAAGTGCTTGTCACTATAGTGTATTGCAGTTCTTAGTGACCATGTGCCTAAAATCTTAACATTGCTAGGTGCTGGGCAGAATCTCTAGATGAGGTGGTGATGATGGATATGTCTGTCTGTCCAAACCAAAGCAGGCTCATGAAACCTACATATTGGAAACTTGGCATACATATTAATGGCATTGCCAAGATGTTCACCATGGGCTTACTTGCCATTTAACACACACCAATTAATCTTCGTATAAATCTCCTTTGAGTATTTGAAGGTTGCAGCAGCATCTTCTGTCAATAGGAGGCAGGCTCCCCTAATGAGTACATGGTTTTGCTGCTGAGGCCATTTGAAGCCCTGGGGAGAGTCCAGCAGTCATGGCTCTGAGTTATTTGCCCCACGGGAGAATGAAGTAGACAGACACCTCCGCCAGGGAACTGTGGGGGGCATCATGGTTGGGGCTATGTTTAGACTTACAAGTGGAGTGTGGCTTCATTCAGGTGGAATGACTACAGTGTGTCTGCAGCTAGTTAAAAATAAATCAAAACCCTGCCTATGCTCTGAGCCATTAAAAGCCAAAATAATTTGGGGAAGACAATAAAATAAATGGGAAAGAAGGTCAATTGGTAAAATCCAGGGCAAGCACATGGGACATCTGGTTGCCTGCTGTGGAAGCCACTTATTAGGCTGGGCAGTTCTTTGGCCTGCTCTAGCTGCACTTTGGTTGGGTTCTGCACTGAACCCTGGCCACTTCCCGTTCCTGAGGGACCCCTGAAACAAAGCTGCTTTGGTTGCCTAGGCAGGAGCAAGTATAAACATGTGGGATGCCTTGATGTTTTCACAGGCATTTGCAGAACTCCAGCCATGCCGGCCACTTTGTCATTGTGTCAGAGGAAGCTATTGCAAAAGGCATCCGGAGGATAGTGGCAGTGACTGGAGGAGAAGCACAGAAGGTGAGCAGCGGGGAATGGACGAATCCACCGGAAGCAGCCAGGAGATGCATCTCGGTGGACCCCAGTTAGCTGTGAGGCTGGGAAGGCCGTCACGGATTATGCTTTTCACTTGCCAAGGTTTCTTGTAGACGAAAAGCCATATCTTCACCCCTTTTAACCACCATCACAGACTTAATGCTTTTCTCTTTTTTCCCAAGGCGCTGAGGAAGGTAGACAGCCTTCAAAAGCTGCTCGCTGAGCTGGAAGCCAAAGTGAAGATCCAGACCACTCCTAACAAAGACATCCAGCGTGAGATTGCAGATCTTGGTGAGGTACAAGAAGGGACAGGAGGGGAAAGTGGAGGCAACACCTTACCCAGGTCGCTCAGATGGGTCATGTGCAAACCAGCTAAGGCAGCACCAGCTCGCTGAGGGCTGCTCTCGAATCTGCTGGCTGTGCTGCATGTGCTTTATAAGCAGGGCTGTTTTCCAAAGGAGCGTAAACTTATCTGTGTAGGGAATACAAATTCTGTAATGCTAATTAGTTACACAAGGCATTGCGTCGTTCTGACTTTGTGCATGTGCATGCCTGATCGTTTCAGACCATCGAAAAAGAAAGAAGTATGTCAAAACAGCCCTTCAGAGTCCTCCTCTGGCACTGGGCTCATTTCTGAGGCTAAATCAGGCACTGCCCAGGTTTACCTACACAGAGCCAGAAGGACTGGGAATGTGTTTGCTTCGAGTGAGATCTTCACTACGCCTCTGTATGGCCTGAGCATCAGTGTAACACACGCACATTGTCTGTTGCAATGCATAAGTAGGGAGTCCTGCTTACGCTGCTGGAAATACATCAGCTCTGATGTCCCTGTAAAAAGTGAGCTGCTGGGGCTTCAGCTTCGAGTAGGGAAGCCTGAGGCGTCTGCAGCAGATTCAAGCGGGGCTGGGTTTCTGTGAACCCAGCGTGTGTACTCTGCAGTGGATGGGTGTCTTCTGAACTGGGCAAATTCTCTAGGCCAGTGGACAGTTTTTCCCTTGCACAAGTGTGCGTTAGCAGCAATGTGCACTTGTGCTAATGTGCACTTGCACACATGGAACAAAACTCGCACACCCATCCCCCATTTGATGCCCTCAGTGAGCAAATGATTGACCAGAAGTTTCCTGACGATCTGCAGAACACAAATGGAACAGACTTGGCAAAATCTATACATTCCTAACTACCAGTGGATTTGTTTGTTTGTTTGCAGACCCTGGCCACTGCAATCATTCCCCAGTGGCAGAAAGATGAACTGAGAGAGGCCCTGAAAACACTAAAGAAGATTATGGATGATCTGGATCGTGCCAGCAAAGCAGATATCCAGAAACGAGTGAGCCTGTTTCCTTCTTTCTCTTTCTGCCTCCCACAGGCAGGCTCAGCTGTATAGAAATGGCTGCACTTTCCTATGTGGCTCTTGCTGTCAGCTGGTGCCTGGCTGTGGTTGTAGCTTTAGAGGAAAAATAATGGACTCTGTTGCCTTTGACAAACATCAGGGCAGAGTGCAATACACAGCCCTGTGTGGTCCTAATATAATATATCCTTAGTGTTGCAACCTGTCTTGGCTGAAAGGCAGCTTGCTTGCGCACGCTCTCTCTCTCTCCCCCCCCCCCTTCCTTCATGCACATTCCTCCCCCACTGCAAGGCAGCTTCCTCTCTGCCTTGAACTCTCAAATCTGTACCCTCCCAGAGCCCAAAATGCAACAGAAAAAGCATTTCCTGCTTTCTGAGAGGAGCTTCCCTGTGGCATTCCCATGGCTCGGGAGCAGCCTCATCTCTTGTTCGACTGTTCCCTTAGGTTTTGGACAAGACGAAACAACTGATTGAGGCTCACCCCAACCAGCCGCTGGTCATCCTTGAAATGGAGAGTGGTGCGTCTGCCAAGGTAATTCACCTGAACAGCAGTGGGGTCCCTTTTGTCGCTCTCTGCAAGCATTGGTTATTAGGAGGTACTGGTTGTGTGGAGCGAGAACCTGCATCTCCAGTGCAAACACTGGATAGGATTGGAGAGGTGTTGGCATTTGTTTTCTGAGAGGTTCTGCTTCCTCTCCTCTCCTCTCCTCTCCTCTCCTCTCCTCTCCTCTCCTCTCCTCTCCTCTCCTGGGTTTTGCTTTGTTCCTGGGACAGTTTCCCCTCAGATAACATGCGCTATCACCCACAGCATGTGCATTCTCTCAGCCCAGGGGTGTGGAACCCTGTTCATCCCAGGAGCCAAATTCTACTTCAAGAAAGTCCTTGGGGTTCTGCATTCCAGTGGATGGCAGGGCCAAAGGCAGAGGGGTGCTGCCAAAGGTGAGAGGGGCCTAAATACCCAAAGTACTAGCACATTCAGGCTTAAAGCTTATACTGCTGCTAACTCTGCCTTAGGAGAGGCATTGCAACCTTTTAGAATGAGGGAAAACTGCACAAAAGCTAGGAAATGATTTGTGATTGCAGAGAAAAAGGTGAGGCCATTTGGGGCCCCCAGGTGCTCTGGAGTTGTCCCCCAGGCCTGAGGTTCCCCACCTCTGTCTTAACTGTAAACGTGTCCTTCTGTAGGCTCTGAATGAATCCTTGAAGCTCCTGAAGACGCATTCCCCAGAGACAGCCGCCATGCTTTTCGCAGTGGATAATGACGCTGGCAAGATCACGTGCTTATGCCAGGTCCCTCAGGTAGGTTGGGGGCACAGGCCGGATTTCAGCCCTTGCTGACACTGTGGGGCATCAGTGGACCAGTATAAGAATCCTTCCCAGGTCTGGGGCTGCTAAAACCATACATAGTGGCTATGACCCAGAATGATTGCCTAGAATGCGCGCACACACACGCTTGTGTACACAGACACACACACAGACACACAGAGAGAGAGAGAGAGAGAGAGAGAGAGAGAGAGAGAGAGAGAGAGAGAGAGAGAGACGCCTTGTCCTGCAGTTCCAGCAGCTGCCACTACTACCTTGCTCTGTTGTCAGCTTAAGAACCTGTGAACTTTTGGCGTAGGAGCATCCTCCCGGTCTAAACAGAAGGCTCACCCAGCCTGGCTCCCCACTTCGTACAGGAGCCATCCAGATGCCCGCAGGTGGTCCACAGCCCTGCCTCTGCCCCCTCCCTGTCACGCTGCCTCCAGACACAATGTCTGGATTGTTTTTGTGGCTGGTAGGCACTGGAAGTCCTACCGGGATGGATTTGTGTAGGCCCCTTTCAGCACCACTATGCCAGCAGCTGTCACATGTTGTGGCAAGGAATGGCATACACGAGGACCTTTGGAGAGCAGTTCTGTCCCAAGATTCCCTAAAGGAACCCCCTCCTCTCTCAAGGCCTAGTGTGGCTTCTACCGTGTCTGCACCAGGTGGATATTTTGGCCTGTTTTTGTTAGTGGTAAACCATATTTAAACAGGAAACACATCCTTCCATTTCCAGGCTAGCTGGTAAGAAATTCTGGAAGTGGAAGTGCCTTTCTCTGTCTAAGCATGCATAGGATTGGATCCTTACTACACTTTTTCCTCCCTCTCAGAAAGTCGCCAGTAAAGGGCTGAAGGCTAATGAATGGGTGCAGAAGGTGTCGGGGCTGATGGATGGCAAAGGGGGTGGGAAAGACCTCTCTGCCCAAGCAACAGGAAAGAACACAGACTGCCTTGAGGAGGCCCTGAAAGTAGCCACGGACTTTGCCAAGCTCAGACTGGGAGAGCTGAAGAACTGAACCTTGCAGCATTCGAGAAGGGAATGCCTCATCTGCCCAGCCAGTAAGTTAGGAGTTTGTTGCGTCCACAGAGGCCAAGGCTGCACCATGGTCATTCTAACCTCATCCTCTTGGGCACTAACCAGGCAGAGCGGCTGTGTAGGCAACAACCTGGATGTGAGAGCTCAGGACGGTGTGAGTCCTAATCCAGACTCGTAGTAACAACTGAGCCCTTTCCGGGTGCCTCCTGCCCATTAATCGTCCTCTTTCTTTGCACACATCTGTCACGTGCTCCCTGATACCCTACATTTTAGATGATAATGTAGTTTTAAAAGGGGGGACTCTGTGCACAACCCCCCGCCCTGTCCATGTTCGAGTACTTGACATGCTTTCTGTAATGTGAGCATGAACAGGGCATCAAGGCTGCTATGATCTTGTTCCTCGTCTTTGTAACTGTGGAAGACCTTCCCTCCCTACTCAGTGTGAACTCCTGTTGCGGCAAAGCCTGAACTGGGCTGCCCTGTCCTGCCCTGGGGCAAAGAGCTGTGGTCGACTAGGTTCCATGCTAAATAAACAGATGCAGTGTCTGCAAGTGAATGCGTTGCACCTGAAACCATGGCCCTGAGCTGATGCATGAGCAGGAATGAGCCGCAGCAGCCACCGTCAGCCTGGTGCGCTCTCCCAACCATCCCCACTTGACAACATGCCCAGGAGAGAGCATTCATAAGCCTGTCTTTCCCTACACTGCAGTTTGTCACGTTGTGCGGAGTGACGAGCTGCTATTTCTTGCGCAGGCAGTCCCTGGGTTATGAACAAGTTCTGTTCCTGAGAAGATAAAAAATCGCCTTTAAGTCAAATTTCTGTGGAAGTCAGATGACATATAGCTGGCCCTCCACATCTACAGGGGTTCAGGGCACAGGACCCCTGGGAAAGTGGAAAAACTGAGAATATCTCTAGATATCCCCCCTGCCTCCCAAACTCACCAAGGCCTTCTCTTTGCAACAAGGAAATTCTGGAGAGATTTCCCTCTCTGGATGGGCAGGGCAGAAAAGCCTGCCATATTTTTTAAAAATTAATAGGCTTTATGACAGTTTGTAAGTACAAGTTGTTCATAATTTGAGGTTGCCTACATTACTACTACTACTACAACATTGCATTTATATCCCACCCCTTTTCCTTTTGTGAGGGACCCAAGGCAGCTTATGGAGCTCCATTTTATCCCTGAGAGTAAGTGACCACTCCAAATTCACCCAGGGAGCTTCATGGTCGAGTGCGGACTAGACCTGAATCTTCCAGATCCCCACCCACACTCTTAAGTACCACATATCACTGGCTCTCATAATAAAGAGCAGTTCATTCCCAACAGGCTGACTCTACCCTGGTTTCTAGAACCAAGTCTGTTAAAAGTAACCGCAGTGCTTGAATGCTCCATGGCTTAAATTCCCCTTTCAAAATTGCAGAAATATTTGCGTACCTAAAGCACCTTGTAAGAGAAAGGATAATCTTGGTGGATTATGAGGGGACCTTTAACTTGGGACCCTCCCTGTCTTGGGCTGCAACTGCCAGCATTCCTGGCAGCATTCTTTGCTCATGTTGGCTGGGAATGATGGGAATTGCAGGCTAACACAACTGGAGAGCACCAGCTTGAGAAAAGGTGGTTTAGCAGCAATGTGTAACTCAGTACTGCACCATACCGAGTTACTGGAAGTTACTCTGTATTGAGCTTCATCTAGTTGCGGGCAGCATGACTGGAGTGCGCAGCTCATCTGCCATTCCTAGTAAGGGGCATCTAGAGACCCTTCTGTGACTTTTGCCAGGAGCCTGGATGGGAGCAGCATTTCTTCTGGCTGGGAATGGTCACCACAACAACCCATCTGGTTCCAGAAAACCAGCCCTATTAGCCTCCTCCATCTAAAAGTTGGGGGCACGTCATAGAACTGCCACCCTTCAGTGACTGAAATTCTGACACTGTCTCTGCCCTGGTAGGATTTGCACCCAGGAGGACAGGATACATCTTCAGAATGGACAGTTAAGATCCTGCCACACGCTTGTTAGAAAAGCAGCCCCACAATGGAGTTCTCTTACTCACCCCTCAAAGCATTGATCTTCGGTGCTTGAATGTAATCACACCTAACTGTATCTCAGCAAAACGGGGGTCCAAAACAGTAAATGCCCAGGTGGGTGGCATTCCTGGCTCGGTGGCTGTGGCAGTGCATGGCTTTAGAAAGCTGTCAGTGTTTGCTGCTGCTTAACTGTGCCCAGAAGGGAAGTAGAGATGCAGCAGAGGATGGAGGCCAGCTGCAGCAGAACAGGCCCCGCAAAGGAACCATACCAGCTCCATGACAGAAACCAGCACAGAGGCCAAATGGGGCCACTGCCCCATTCATTTCTATGGCTCAGATTGCACCAGCTAAGTCCCATTCATTTCTAAACAGAGCAGTACTCCAGCACTCAGGGTGTTAAGTACATTTTGTGCTCCTGCCTGCAAGCAAGGCTTGCCTGTACTAGATTGTTTGGCCTTAACAGCTGTCAGGGACACCGTGCAGATGCTGCATAAGCTCCCATTCTCTGGGCACCTGAATATCAGGGCCTAAACAAAATGGGAGGCCAGGTCAGGTAGAAAGAACTAACTTGCTAAAATCACTTCTGCCTGCATCTCAAACTTCCATAGTTTGAGCTCATTTTCTTTTCACTAAAAGCAGATATGTCTGATCACTGTCACTAATACCAAGCTTTAGTGGTGAACTTTGATAGAAAGGGCACCATGACCCAGTTTCCACTTCATAATTCAGAGTGTGCATTGCATACAGATTGTTGTTGACTTGTAGATGGACATTACTTGCAAATGCTGCACTATGGTTTAACTATGGGTTACTAATCCAGGAAGAGAACCCATGTTTGTTGGGTTGTGAACTCCAGGTTGTTCACGGTTAACAGAACCATAGTGCCTGGACTGCATGTAATGACAACCTATGATTCAACAACCACCATAATCAGTATATACTCGGGATTGTCTATATGTGTAAAATAAACCATGGAGAACAAGGGAAGGGTATCAACTTACTCAAAAGAGTGTTGAGGTTTGTAGAAGTACCAAAAACAAAATGCCTCCCTACAAGAAAAAATGACAAAATCCCAAGGTGGCAAATTAATCACACATTGACTATCATTTGGGAACACAAAATTGGAGCTGTGAGATAGCAGGCTGGATCCCTGAACAGGAAGGAACATTCCAGGCAGGAGGTGTGAATATGATGCAACATGTTGGGCTCATAATCCTTGATCACTTTGATGATCTCTACCTACATCCTAATCATGTTTGTTTGAAAGTAAAGTCCAGAATTCGGTGGTAAGAAAGCTGAGAATTGCAGCCTTCGTAGTGGTGGAAGAAACATCTGCTTGTGTTGAGAGGCACTTTTTAAAATTCACATAACCCAAAACTTCATTCTGGCACCGAAGCGTGGTTGCAGGATTCAGACCAGGATCAATTTATTTTGTTTTTATTACTCAGATTGATATACCACTTTCCCTGGGAGTAGTAAAGTGATGAACATAAAATGCAACAGCATTAAAAAAAACCCACAATAAAAATTAATCAGTAGTACAGCCGCGCACACATTGTTGTGTGGATTAGACATTAAACCACCAACAGATTTCGCTTGTACAAATTGAGCCCGATTTGTCTGCTGAGTGAAGTGTGTCTTTTATTAGCAGATATGTTTGCAGAGCCATATAGATTGGAATTGGGAGAAGTAGTAAACAGCTGGTCCAAAGACCATAAACAGAAGAGCTACAATCTGTGATGTTTCTAGGTAAGGTACATAGGAACAGAGTATGTAGAAGGATAATTCACAAGACCCATTACTGAGGATAATGCTTCATGCATCTGGCAAAGCAGGCTGTGAAATTCATATATGCTTCTGAGGTTTTTCAAGTGCTGCTGGCTGCGAAGGAGCCCTTGTTCCTCGCCACAATACTGGCACAATGCCACAAAGCTAGGGCTGGAGCCCCAATCTCAGGAATGCCATTTGCCTCACTGCCCTCTTGTCCAGAGTTTTGTGTAAATAAAAAGATTTATTTATTTGGAGTGCTTGTATGCCACCCCATTTGCATAAGCTTCGGGCAGCTTCCAACAAATAAATAACAATATACAAAATATACAGAATTGGAAACATCCCGGAGTTAGATAAAAGTAATAAATAATTTAACAATCAATTAAAATAGCATTTAAATAAAAAGGTCTTGGCCTGGCGCCGAAAAGCAAATAATGACGGCACCAGGCGGACCTCTCCGGGGAGCGCATTCCACAGATGGGGTGCCACCACAGAGAAAGCCCTCCTCCAAGTACTCACCCACCTAATTTCCTTCACGGAGGGCTCCCGGAGAAGGGCCTCTGCCGCCAGTCTTAGAGGGCGGGAGGGCAAGTATGGACGGAGGCGCTCCTCCAGGTACCCAGGTCCCAAGCCGTTTAGGGCTTTATAGGTCATCACCAGCACCTTGAATTGGGCCTGAACTTCAATGGGGAGCCAGTGAAGCTGACGAAGGATTGGGGTTATATGAGAACAATGCCCAGTCCCCATCAGCAACCTGGCAGCTCTATTTTGCACTAATTGAAGTATCCGGACCGTCTTCAGGGGCAGCCCCACGTAGAGCACGTTGCAGAAGTCTAACCGGGAGTGACCAATGCGTGCATCACTGTCGCCAGGCAAACTTCCTCCAGGTAGGGACGCAGGTGGTGAATCAGCCGAAGCTGATGGAAAGCACTCCTCGCCATGGCCAACACTTGAGCTTCCAAGGTCAGCTTCGGGGCGAGGAGCACCCCCAAGCTGTGGACCCTGTCCTTCAGAGGGTGTGCTGCCCCCTTCAGGACAAGGTCCTGGTCCCTCACCCCAGAGTCTGAACCACCCACCAACAGGAACTCCGTCTTGCGATTTCATGTAGATGTTAAATAGCAAGGGGGACAAAATAGAGCCCTGCAGAACTCCATGGCATAGCTACCATGGCACAGAGCGACAGTCCCCCAGCACCACCTTCTGGAATCAGCCATTGAGATAGGAGCGGAACCACTGCAAAGCAGTGCCCCCAACCCCCAATCCCGCTAGCCTATCCAGAAGGATACCATGGTCGATGGTATCAAAAGCTGCTGAGAGGTCCAGGAGAACCAACAGGGCTGCACTCCCCCTGTCTCCCTGCACAGGTCATCATACAGGGCGACCAAGGCAGATTCGGTACCATAACCGGGTCTGAAGCCGGACTGAAATGGGTCCAGATAATCAGTTTCATCCAAGAGTGCTTGGAGTTGTCTCGCCACCACCCGCTCTTAACACCTTGCCCAAGAACAGGATGTTGGCCACCAGTCTATAATTGGTGGCCATCTCTGGATCCAGGGATGCCTTCTTCAGGACTGGCTGGACTACTGCTTCCTTTAAAGGGGCAGGTACCCAGCCATCCCTCAGAGAGGCGTTGACAACCTCCAGGATCCAGGTCCCTATCCCGTGCTTGGCTTTGTTAAGTAACCAAGATGGGTAAGGGTCCAATAAGCAGGTGGTGGGACGTACTTGTCCAAACACCTTGTCCACATCATCAGGCCGCAATAACTGAAACTCATCCAACAATTTAGGACCAGACAGCAACATTGATTCCTCCCCTGAAGGCTCTGAGTTACTAGTGGAGTCCAGCTCATGACGAATCTGAGTGATTTTCTCCTTAAAATGCTTGGCAAAGTCATCACAGTGGGCCGTCGAGGGTTGTACAGGATCTTTTTTAGGGCCCGGATGAACCAGCCCATGTACCACCCGAAAAAGCTCCACCAGACGGCATTGTGAGGAGGCAATGGAAGTGGAGAAGAATTCCTTTTTCGCCGCCCTCACCACCACAGCATAGGCCCGATAATGGGCTCTCAAGTGTGTTCGTTCAGATTCATCCCATGATTTCCTCCACCTACACTCTAGACGTCTCCTGACCAGCTTCATCGCCCATAATTCAGTTGTATACCAGGGAGATGGTCATCTCCCCGTTCCACAGTTCAACCAGAGCCTCGACAGGAACACCAGCCTTATCGACCAGAAATTCCCCCAGAGCCTTCAGGAATCCATCTGGATCCATCCGACTCCAGGGACAGACCAACACAATAGGGTCCGCACCCTTGCAGAGGAAGAGGCTGGTCTCGAGCTCAAACTTCACGAGGAAGTGATCTGACCATGACAAGGGAGTCAGACGTAGATTCTCAAATCCCCCTCTTCCTGCCCCGTCGAGAAAACCAGGTCCAGAGTGTGTCCACGTTCATGGGTCAGGCCGGTGACATGTTGAGACAGCCCCATGGCCGTCATGGAGGCCATGAAGTCCTGAGCTGCCCCAGACAGAACAGTCTTGGCATGGAGATTGAAGTCCCCCAGGACCAACATCCTGGGGGTCCTCAACACCAGGTCCGAGACAATCTCCGTCAGCTCAGGCAGGGAGTCTGTTGGGCAGAAGGGTGCATGATACACCAACAGAATCCCCAGTCTGTCTTGGTGGCCCAACACCAAGTAGAGGCACTCTAGACCCGGCCTCGAGAGAACAGGAAGCCCCGTGAGGGAGATGGAAGCTCGGTAAAGCAAAGAGACCCCCCCTCTCCTCCCCTCCAGGCGTGGTCGGTGCTGGACCAGATATCTGGGTGGGCACAGTTGAGAGAGGGAGACGTCCCCCCTTCACCTGCCCAGGTCTCTGTGATGCAAGCCAGGTCGGCCCCTTCATCCACAATCAGATCGTGGATGAGGGATGATTTATTATGGACCAACCTGGCATTGAGCAGCAGCACCGATAGGCCCGGGGGGCGGTTGACAAGACTACCTGGAACCCTCTGGCTGGGGGCAGAACCAGAAGGGGGAACAGGTGTCAGCCATCTGCCCCTCCTTCTTCCGCAATGACTCGTTAAACTCCCATCGCCATCATGTCCCTTGCCCATAACCACGCCAATGGCAGCACCCACGCACTCCCCAGGCAAGCTCATAATTGTGGCCAAGGATGGAGCCATTAAAGTAAGTGAAAAACCAATTAAAACCCCTTAAAACTCTTAAAGATGGGGATCCGGAGGGTCTCTGCCACACCTGATCCCGCTGGAGGAGCTGCCTTTTTGCCCACTTGTGCTTCATCTCCTGCTGCTCCCCCTTTCCTGAGGTTTTTTTCTGATACCAAATACCCTCCTTTCCCCTGTCCAGACACCCCTGTAAAGGCACCAGGAAAGAGAGATGAGAGAGCATATTTAGAGAACATTTAGAAGCACCTAGAACGTATTTAAATGAACACTTGCAAATCCGTGCCGTTTTTATTTTCAGTCCCTGGGTCTGAGCCCCGGATATTTTCAGTAGGCAGGGCCACCCCCGCTCACACGGACCTAGCGGCTAGCGGGTGCCGTCCCTCCTGCCGAGGTCGAAGCCGGCAGGGGGAGCCCACGCACAGGCAGGCTGCTGGGCGGCGCCTCCGCCTCTTCCCCTTCCGGGGCCAAGCGCGCCAGGAGCGGAGCCATGCCGCTGGACCACAGACGGGTGCCGGGCCCGGAGGAGTCCCAGACGCCGCTGCTCTTCGTGCCCGCCGCCGGAGCCACGGATGGCGCAGAGGAGGCGAGCGCGGCCCGGGAGCCGTCGGCACTGCAGCCGCTCTTCGCCCGCGTGGGGCTGCTGAGCCAAGCCAAAGGCTCGGCCTATGTAGAGCTGGACGGCGGCACCAAGGTGCTGTGCGCCGTCGCCGGGCCGCGCGAAGCGGCCGGCGGCGCCGGGGCGAGCGGATCCGGCGAGCCGCGCGGGCGGCTGGTGTGCGAGTTACGCCGGGCGCCTTTCTCGGGACGCGGAGCCCGCGGGCGGCCCGGCGAGCGGGAGCCCGAGCTGGCGCTGGCGCTGCAGGAGGCGCTGGAGCCGGCCGTGCGCCTGGCGCGCTACCCGCGGGCGCAGCTGGACGTGAACGCGCTGCTGCTGCAGGACGGGGGCTCGACGCTGGCGGCTGCGCTGTGCGCCGCGGGGCTGGCCCTGGCCGACGCGGGCGTCGAGCTCTATGATCTCGTGGCGGCCTGCGCGCTCTGCCGGACGCCGGGGCCGTCGGGGGGCGAGTGGCTGCTGCAGCCCACAGAGCCCGAGGAGCGCGTCTCCGCCGCCCGCCTCACCGTGGCGCTCCTGCCGTCTCTCAACCAAGTGGCGGGGCTGCTGGGCAGCGGCGAAGGCGGGCCCCCCGACAGCTGGGCGCAAGCCTTGCGCCTGGGGCTCGACGGCTGCCAGCGCCTTTACCCGCTGCTGCGCCAGAGCCTCCTGCGTGCGGCGAAGCGCAGGACGCCCGCAAGCCAAGAGCCGTCAGACATGGACACTGCCGAGCCTCCTGCAGCCACCGCCTGAGCCGCCTCTGCCCTGTGGAGCGCTCTGGGCAGTCACAGACTCCGTGCTCCGTCTAGTGGCCCCGAGGAGCCTAGTGGCGCTGCAGAAAAGGAGGGGGCCAGTCTGCCAGCAGCATCTGTGGTCATTTGCTTCTTGATCCTGGACTTGAACAGCTGTAGCCCAAGTGTGACTGCCCTCCTCTTGCCTTTCACCCCACCCCCAGCACAGAACTGCATCCTGCATCTTTTCCTCCCACCTGGTCCCCCAAGCAACTGGCACCAGGCTTGCCTTCTTCAGCAGGACTGGTGGTATCAGCGCAATAAACTCCGCAGACTCTGTGGCTGGCCTCTGTTTGGGAAGGAGGCTTAAATTGAAAGAGATGCATCTGGAAGGCAGTGGCAGCAACATCTTGGAGCACACCATGCTTGGCAGAAATTACGAATGCTGGCAGCTATTCCAGAAGAACTGCTTGATAAGACTTGCACAGGTTGACACATTACTGGGAGGCTAATTGTAGTTGGACTCAAACACAACTGTTGTGATTTAAGTAGGAGGACTTGGCAGGGTCGGCATTTTTATTCAGTAGGTAATTTCAAAATAGGTCTAAAGAAAAAATGCTATTTTTGGTATTTGCTGCTGTTAGCCACTAACGTTTGACATTCAGGAGATCTGTTTTCCTTTTTTAATCTAGTGATGCAGCCATCTCTCCTGGTTCTGCAAGGTGTTAACACTTGGAAGATGTCAAGAAAAATGTGCGCCTGGATTTTTACACCTTGCTTCATGACATCCTTACATGGAAACACATTGCACGCATTTAAAAAGAGTTTGTTGAGCTAGTGTGCTTTACACTGAAGCAGTGATTTTTTTTTAAGGCAAATGTGCTTTCTGATACCACTTCCTCTCTTTATTTTTAACTGCTTGGTTAAAAACAAGAAAAATAACTCCATTTTCTCCTACCCCCTTGGAATCCTTTACTCTTAAGAAAGAGGGCAAGTTTATATGTGCTATTTCTTGTTCTTTATTAAACTATTTCTTTTTTCAAAATCTTATTTTGCAAATTGGCACCATACCAAATTTCTTATTTATTTACCTATTTATCTTTTTACTTTCATTGGTAAATAAATCACTATCATAAAACGTAAAGTGGAATTTTCCTACAGAAGTGATGTATATAAGGCAGTAAATGGTGTGAGTGATAAGTTGGAAATCGGCTGTAGGTGAACTATGCAGTTACAGTCTCTTGTACGTCTTACTCCCTACCAGGGAACATTCTGATTTGATCTGATTCATTTAGGCTTGCTGATGGTTTTGAGGCTTTAAAAGCAAGTCTTGTAAATGTATTCTTCATAAAGTTGAGTTCATCTGTTACTTGTAAGATTTGTCATAATTAAAACTATTTTGCTTAACCTTGGGCTCTGGTTTTCATGCAGTCTGTGTTGTGTCCTCAAGTAAGCATAGGCAAAAAGTAAATTTGCATCTCCTGGTGGGTCTTCTGAGTGATTTGCAGTAGATCAGTAATGAATTCTGATTTTTAGGTAACCAAAGCAGCAACCAAATTGCCTCCTCCCACTGAGATTACACTGCCGAAATTGAGAGCGCTGGAATAACTAGAAGAGGGAGGCTCTTTAATGCGAATAATGTGCTGCTTTTTGTTTTGGTCCTCAGAAGAGGTTCCTGGGCTGAGAATGCTTTAATTTTAGGTGCCTCTTTTGCACTGATCTCTGGTTGGTGGATCTCAGGTTCTAGTAAAAAAGTAAATCCTCAGTCTGAAGATCCTTGTCAGCCTACCTGACAAGTAGGAGGGAAAAGGTAAGACCAAATGATTGCCAAATATTAGGCTTATGGATTTGATGAGTTCAAAACTGCAAAATGGACTTGCAGTAATTGTTCTTGCCTCTGTTTTGGATGATGCAAGAAACAGGTGGCCAGTCGTCCCCACCAGGGCATTCCTGGTTTATAGAATACTTGACCATAATAAACTAATGACAATAGCCTTCTCTGACCTGGTGTTGTCCAGATATATTGGGACTGCAACTTTAATGAGAGGTCATGTTGGCTGAGAGATGATGGGAATTGCAGTTCAATATGTCTGGAGGAAGTCTGGTTTAGAAGAAAGCAGGTCATGACAGATTTATAAAATTATGTATGATGCAGGAGGGAAGTGTATTTAGATGCTTTCCCCATCTCTGGTCATAGTAGAAATCCAGATCCTCCAGTGCAACTGATCAACAGGTGATGGAAGCAGCAGAGGAAACCACTTTTTCACCCAGCACGTGACTGACTGAATTTGTAGCCACACACGTGATACCCTTTGGCCTAGGTGCCTCTTAAGAGAGGCTTCGACAACCCCATGGAGGAAAAAGCTATTGATGGCTCCTCCTCATAACTGCTAAGTGGACCTGTCAAGCTCAGAGACATGCTTCTGAATTCCAGTGGCTGGAGAAAGAGGGGGATGGTATTGCCATTGGTTTTCGCTTCCAGGCTTCCCCACAGGCATCTGTTTAGAGACAGAATTGAGGTCTGCACTGACCTTTGATCCAACAAGGATCATGGCTCTGACAGCAATCCTGCACTCCGAAAATCCTGTGTTCTGCCAGCAGGTGTCCAGCAGAGCAGAAGAGATGGGTAATTCGCTCTACCCTTTTTGCAGATCCTTCATTATTATTACATTACATTTAGACCCCACCTTTCTTCCTCTTGCAAGGAATGCAGAACAGCTTACTAATCCCTTTTCTCCAATTTTACCTGTATGAGGTAGGTTAGGTTGCGAGTTCATCGTCACCCAGTGAGCTTCAGGGCTGAGTGGGGACTAGAACCTGGATCTCCCAACTCCTGGGCCTCTAGTCTTAGCCATACACATATTTAAATTTTCACTCAAGGTTGGGGCTCAGGTGAGGGAGCCACCAAGTGCTAAGAGAGGTGGGCTGAAAATCCCCATTCACAGGGTTGTAGCTTTGTGGCTTCAAGTGGGAACTCCATAATACCCTATAGTTCCTGGGGTGTTCTCCCAAGGACCATAGGATTACAGATTTGGGGTGTAATCCTGTGCACAACAACCAGCATTCCCCAACCAGCCTGGGATTATACCCTTAAATCTCAGCACTGAATCCTAGGTAGTGTCCAATCCCCAGGAAGGGATGAGTTTGAAGTTGGAGGAACTCTAGTCTGGCTTGGTATGCAATAGTCAACTCTGGCAACCAGGATATATATGTGGCCAGCACAGCAAGAGCAACATATTAGACCTGTAGGAGATAGCTACTGCTTTATTTCTGCTTAAGTAAGAGTTGGTTTGTGCAGTCACATTTTCCCACTTTTTCTCCTACATCAGCATATTTTTAATTTTCACAACAAAGAACACCAAGCTGCTGCTCCTTGACACGTCAGGAGGCTCTCGCTGCCAGACCAGGCGAAGGTGCTAGTCAGACCATCACGGATCTCTCTCTCTCTCTACACCAGCACTGCTTGCAGGCTACTGATGGCAGCACCTGCTGGAGGCATTGAAAGAAATACAACACACAGGAAAGGAAATGCTAGGTAAGGGGTTGCAGCCCTCCAGGCCTGTTTACTTGCTGCTTTCGGGATCCAACGTGTGATTTCTCGCCTGCAAGGAAACAGTAAGTTTTATAAGCCTAGTCCTTCAGTTGCAACATCATACTTATCCCAGTGGGTCCCAGTGGGTGGGTTTGCACGATATGGCAAGCCACCGGTGTGCAGGATGGTCTGTTATGTCACCTGAGCCTGATTGTGGTGTTTCAGCATGGTATGTTTGGTTTTTAGAAATCACAAAACAGAGCAGTCTGTTCTATGGCTGCCATGCTTCACCATGGTTTTTCTGGCCATCTGAACTTGGCATTGTGGCTTCCATAGTCCAGGTATGTGGCTACCACACCTGGACTGTGGAGACCTCTGGAGAGAATGGAAAGAGGAGTTGCTGCAGCCATCAGCCATGGGAGTGAATTTCAGGTACAGTGGCTGATGGAATCAGTGGCAACAATGGAGGGACTGAGCAAGGAGTGTGGAAACCATGCTAGCACAGAAACCATGCAAACAGCTGCACACAGTGGAAGCCACACAGAGTTGCTTGTTGTGACATGTGATCCCAGTCCTTGTGTTGTCATAAGGAGGAAGGGGATCCAGTGACTGATATGAGGGAACTGGCACAGTTGCTAAATGACTATTTTGCCTCTGTGTTCCCCCCAAAGCAGGACGGGGGAGATCCGCATAGGAGATTACATGAGGCTGGGGACTTAGGGGCACAGATTAGAGTCACCGCCCTTGAAGTCGAGGGGCTCCTCAGGGCATTGGACATTACAAAGTCGCCAGGCCCTGATGGGTTACACCCGAGGGTACTTAGAGAGTTGGCGGGGTTCTCTCACGCCCGCTGGCCTCCATTTTTGAGGCCTCGTGGAGGTGAGGTTCTAGAGGACTGAAGGGTGGCATCAGTGGTCCCAATTTTCAAAAAGGGTAGTAGAGGGGACATGGGGAATTACAGGCTGGTTAGCCTTACATCCATTCAGGGAAAGAAAATGGAAAGGCTCATAATAGGGAATGCTCTGCAAACCCTAGACAGGTAAGGGAGGTTGGTGGCCATGCAACACAGCTTCCACAAAAGCAGGTCCTGCAAGACGAACCTTGTGGAATTTTATGGCAAGGTTTTGAGGTGGATAGATGGAAGGGACATGGTCAATGTGGTTTACCTGGATTTCAGCAAAGCCTTTGTCAAAGTGCCACGTGATATTCTGGCTGAGAAAATGAGGAGCTTTGGGATAGACCGATGTCCTGCTCGATGGATTAGGACATGGTTGACAGATCGAAAGCAGAGGGTAACCAATAATGGGGAATCATCTGAATTGCGGTAGGGGATGAGCGGGGGCCCCCAGGGCTCTGTTCTGGGACCAATCCTGTTCAATCTTTTCATCTATGACCTGGAAGTGGGGGGGGTGACCAGTCTGCTGATCAAATTTGCAGATGATACTAGAATGGGGGTGGTGACCGCAACTGAGGAGCAGGTACTCTGGATCCAGAAAGATCTGGACAGACTATAGAAGTGGACAGGGCACAACAGGAAGACGTTCAATATGGATATGTGCAAGGACTTGCATTTGGGGCATAGGAATGGGTGTCATAAGTACAGGTTAGGGGACAAGTGCCTGGAGAGCAGCCCATGTGATAAGGATCTTGGGGTGCTGGTTGACTGCAGGCTAAACATGAGTCAGCCATGTGATGCGGCGGTCAAGAGGGCGAACGCCACCCTTGGATACATACCCAGAAGTGTGGCTTCTGGATCGAGAGGGGTATTACAGTCACTTTATATGACTCTGGTGCTCTCGCAGCTGGAGTATTGTGTTAAGTTCTCGGCTCCTCATTACAAGAGGGATATAGCGAGGTTGGAATCAGTGCAGCGAACCGCCACTAGGATGGTGGCTGGTTTGCAGGGTAAGCCATATGAGGAGAGACTGAGGGAGCTGGGTTTTTGCAGTCTTTGAGAGGAGGAGACTCAGAGGGGACCTGTTAGCCACATATAGGAATATGAGGGAGAGTCACACAGAGGTGGGTCATGACCTTTTTTCCCCTGTGGATGAGGGCAAGATGCATTCTGATGGAGCAAGGCTCAGGAAACCAGGATTCAAGATGGATACCAGGAACTACTTCCCAATGTTTAGGACTTCTAGAGTATGGAATGGGCTTCCAAGGAAGGTGGTTGAAGTCCCATCAGTGGGGGTGTTTAAGGATAGGCTGGATATGCGCATGGTAGGCGTGTCATGGGCGGAGCCAACTGGAGCTGGGGCATCAGACTAGATTGCCTGGAAGTCCCCTTCCAACTTGCTCTGTTTCTGTGTTTATACGTATCTTTCTATATACTAGCCAACAATACAGTGCAACCAGAAAAAAGGATAAATGCTATTTTCAGATGCATTAATAGAAGGTTCACTACCAAATCATGAGACGTACTCATTCCCTTATACTTAGCACTAGTCAGACCTCATCTAAAATACAGTGTGCAGTTCTGGACCCCAAAGTTTAAGAAAGAAGCAGAAAAAATTGGAAAGAGTTCAGAGGAGGGCAACAAAGATGATCTAGAGTCTGGAAACAAAACCCTGTGAGGAGAGAATAAAAGAACTGGGCATGTTCAGCCTTGAGAAGAGGGGACATGGTATCCCTCTTTAAGTACTTCAAAGGCTGTCACAAAGAGGAAGGTCAAGATCTCATCCCAGAGTGTAGGACATGGAATAATAAACTCAAGTTGCAGCAAACTAGATTCAGACTAGATAGAAAAAAATTCCTAAGTGTCAGAGCGATATGATAGTGAAACCAGTTGCCAAAGGAGGTCATGGGCTCTCCCACGTAGCAGGCATTCAAAAAGAAACTGGACAGACATAGAAGCATAGAAACAGAAAGAGTCAGAAGGGGCCTCCTGGGCCATCTAGCTGGGTCCAGCTGGCTCTGCTCACGACATGCCCACCATGTGCATGTCCGGCCTATCCTTGAACACCTGCACTGATGGGGCCTCAACCACCTACCATGGAAGCCCATTCCACACCCTCGGGGCCCTAACTGTCAGGAAGTGCTTCCTGGCATCCAAATGGAACCTTGGTTCCCTGAGCTTTGCTCCATTGGAGCACATCCTGCCTTCCTCTGCAGGGGAGAACAGGTCTCCAGTGGGATGGTGTAAATTGCTGACCTGGACCCTCAGGGCATTAGACACAATGGGTTACCTGGCCCCTTCCGACCCTACTGTTCTATGAATCTATGTGAAAAAGGGTTCTCTGGTCTGATAAGAACCAAATGGACCATTTGGGCCTTGCTACGAAATACTAAGCGTGATGCAAAGCCGACACTGCTTATTGCCCTGGGAACATCACACCCATGGAGAAGCATGGTGGTGGCAACATGACAAACACTACGGGTTGTAACACTACAAAATGTGGAAAAGTCAGGAGAGGAGATGAATACTTCTGAAAAACACAGTAACTAAGGGAATTAGCATATGCTTCAACTAGATGTCGGAAGACAAGCATTCTCCCAGTTACTTGCAGTTCTTCAGCCCAAGCGCTTTGGAAGGGCTGTGTGTCTGTATGTGTGTTGAGACATTAATGAGATGCAAAACTGCAACCCTTACTAAATGCCTTTCTTTTGCACTTCAAGGGGCAGGGGCAGGCCTTGGCTAGCACAAGAACACTTGGATGAGAAAGCGAGTTTCTACTTCATTAGTTCTAAAGAGCACACAGCCCCTTGTTCAGATGCTGTGGATGAGACGATAATTTATTATGCAGGCTAGGTGGGCAGAAAGGAACCGAAACTGCCCCCCACCCCTCCATCCACCAAAGATCTGCCTTGCCTCTTGTTCTGCAAAGGATTCAGAAGAATGGTGTCCAGGGGCTCTTCCCATGGACCCTCCTGGGTGATTTTGCTTCACAAAATATCCCTCGCAGAGAATGTGATTAAGCCACCCCAGGGCCCTAGGAGCATGAGATACTGCTTGCGCTGAGTTAGGCCACTGGCCCATCTATGCAATATTATCAACGCGGACCAGGAGGTTTACCAGGTTTTACCAGCTCTACACAGAGATCCCAAGGCTTGAACCTGGGGCTCTCCGTACGCAAAACAGGCTTCCTTCCACTGAGCCACAGCCCTCCCCATCTCGGGAGCAGTAAGGAGAGCTTCTGTCTTTGCCTGTTGAGACACAGGGATATCGTTCTTGCCACCCTGTCTAGATCCCTTTTTACATCTCGGGCAGTATGCAGTTGCTAGTAATGAATAAAGAAATATTTCAGAGCACCTTTGCTTTCCATCAACGAGAGAGAGAGTTGCTAGTCCTTCGACTATTTCCCTTGCTTTAGTTTCACTTGAGCCAGGTAAAGTGCAGTGTTGCTACTTACAGCCTCTTCAGTATCTGTGCTCTCCTCCTCACTGTCAATGTCCTGCAAAGGGCCACACTTGTCACTTTCTGTGCTCTCCCTCCGCCGGGCAGAGTCCCCTCCCAGATATGCGGCCTCTGCACTGGCGGGAGCTTTCTTCTTGCTCTCCTTGGAACCTGCAGGATAACGGAAGCTCGGCATCAGATGAGCGTGCTGGCCCATTCAGTCTGTCCTACCTTTCTGCTGTCGTGGAACTGTGTGCCTTGGGCTCCAAGTTCGTCTCCCATCTGGGTACCAAACAGAGCCAGACCAAAGAGGCTGTGCCGTGTGTTTCAGACCATGCCATTGGATGCCATTTGCATATGAAGCAGCAGAAATTCAAAAGGTGCTCTAGCCCACTAGTGGGAGTGTGGTAGAGCAAGCCCAAAGAAACTAGAGCTTAGCTTGAAAAACAGAACAAACCTAGTTTTGTGACCAGAAAATCCCATCTCTGCTCCTTGATAAGTTATGAAACATAAATAACTCCTGTGGCATTTCAGTAATGGAGCAGATTCAGCTGGTGGGTGTCTATACATTGAATGCAGTGGAAGCATTCATGGACTAGACCCCACTTCATCAGCGGCATGATGTGGCATCTGCAACTGCCGGGACGATTCGTACCTGCCTGTCTGTGTGACCTGCACACACACAAACGCAGCCAGGAGGAGCTACATGCTGCAGGTGCAAAGGATCATGAATCGCAAGTGTGAGCCAGTGTAGCAAAGTGGTTGGAGTGTTGGACTGCCACTCAGAAGTCCTGGGTTCTCCACTTGGCCATGAAGGTCAACTGGATGACTTTGAACCTCTCACTCTCTCTCAGCCTAACCTTCCCTCCAGGATTGTTGTGAGGATACAAGAGGAGAATAATGCCACCCACTATAGTAAACAATAGTACAGCATTGGCACATTTTTACGCAAAGTTCTAATGAATACAATCGGGATACACGATCTGTGCCCTTCGGCCTTAACTGTTGCACCGTGGCCCCTGCCACTGTGCCACATTCCCTCCCCCAGAGATCCTCTGGCTGCTCAGGATAGCTAAAAGTGCTCAGTGCTCAGTGGGCATTTGCAGGGTGAGGAAGTGCACCTCTGGATTTTATTTCTATGCATCTCTGCACTCATCTAAAGGTGCAGCTACTTCTTCATTTCTCAGTCTCCCAGTCTGCACTTCAGTCCCATATCATCTGCCAACTAAAGATAAAACCAAATGCATCAGAGAAAACACTTCAGTTGCACACATTTCTGCCTTGACAGATGCGTTGCTAGGGTGCGGCAGTACACTGTGACCATACAAATTGAGCAGCTTTGTAAACCCCATCCTGTTGTATCACAAAAAAATGAAAGTCTGTGAGATGCTCCAGTCCATGCAGCGTGGCAGCAGCCTGCCTGCCTGCTTTTCATCCACCCGCCCTTCCCTTCCCTTCCCTTCCCTTCCCTTCCCTTCCCTTCCCTTCCCTTCCCTTCCCTTCCCTTCATTTCTCTTCCCTTCCCTTCCCTCTTTCTGTTTTTAAAACTTTTATATGCCACCCAATTGTGCCACAGGTCAGAGTCACAAGATAAAAACACAATAAAAACCAGCAACAATATATTAAGTTACAATATCAATAAAATGCAAAAATACAAAAGAAAGGTCAAGTGGCATTAACTATTAAAATATTTTTGTACAAGGAAGGTCTTTGCCTGCCGCCGAAAAGAATATAAGGGAAGCGCCAGGTGAATCTCCTTTGGAAGAGCTTTCCAAATGTGGGGAGCAGCTGCAGAAAAGCCCCCCCTAGTGGCCATCCCTCTCACCTCCCTAAGGGGTGGCTCACACAGGAGGGCCCCCTGCATAGATCTTAAAGGCCAGGGAGGCACAGCTGGAGGCAGGTGTTCCGTAAGATAACCAGGGCCGAAGCTGTTCAGGGCTTTATATGTCAGCACAAGCACCTTGAATTGGGCCTGGGCCACAGTTGGTAACCAATGAAGATCTTTCAGTTCAGGTGTTAGGTGGGCCACTCCAGAGGCTCCCATCACCATCTGAGTGGCCGTATTCTGTACCAATTTTAATTGCCAGACCGTCTTCAAGGGCAGCCCCACGTAGAGCGCATTGCAGGAATCTATTTTGGATAGTACCAGTGCATGAGTGACTGTTTTCAGTCTCTGTCTGTCCAGGTAGGGACAAAGCTGGCATATCCTCCAAGTGGTGCCTCCAGCCCTGACCCCAGCCAACTTGTCCAGAAGGACACTGTGGCCAAAGGTGCCAAAGGCCACCGAAAGGTCAAGGAGAACCAACAGGATTGCAGTCCCCCAGTCCCTTTCCTTGCACAGGTCATCTCCAGGGCAACCAAGTACATCTCATTCCAACCCCGGCCCAATGCCTGACTGAAATGGACCCAGATACTCTGCATCCTCCAAGAGTGCCTGCAGCTGCCTGGCCACCACCTGCTCCGACACCTTGCCCAAAAAGGGAAGATTGACAATGGGTCGGTAGTTATCCAGTTTCCCTGGATCCAGGCCTGGCCTTTTTAGGAGTGGTCTCACTACTGCCTCCTTTAATGGGGTGGGGACCACTCCCTCTCTTAATGAGGCGTTGACAGTCTCCTGGACCCAGGGCCAAATCCCTTCAGATCTCCCAGTCAGCCAGGATGGGCAAGAGTCAAGAAGGCACATGGTGAATCGGACAGAGCTAAGCACCTTGCCCACATCCTCGGTTCTCAAGAACTGAAACTCATCCAATAATGGACCATTAGGTGATGCACTAGACCAGGGGGCTCAAACTCAACTTACCTGGGGGCCACTGGAAGTAGAGTCTGGGTGAGGCTGGGCCAGATCAAGTATTCCACCACCGCGGTGGTGGTGGGCCGCTCATCCCGCAGCCGGCCCGGGTGCCGCCAGCACTTTGAAGGCCGCAGGGCCCCTCCCCCGTGCCCTGCCCGTCCCGGCAATTGGCCCGCGGGCCGCGAGTTTGAGACCCCTGCACTAGACACATCTGAAGACTGCCCTGCACAAATGGCAAAGTCAAGCTCCAGGTGGAGCCAAACAATTTTTCCCTCAAAGTGCAAAGCAAATTTGTCACACAGAGCTATGGAGTGCTCTGGGGTCTCATCTGGAGAACCAGACTGTAGAGGTCCCAGACCACTCGAAACAGCTCAGCTGGACGGCACTGAGAGGAAGCAAGAAGGGAGGCGAAGTATCCATGCTTTGCCGGCCTTATCGCCACTAAGTAGTTTCGATAATAAGCTCTTAAATGCGTTTGCTCAGACTCGTCATGGGAGTCCCCCTACCTGCTTCATTGCCCTCAGCAAATCGTTATACCATAGTGCTGAATGGGGCCGTCGGGAAGGGAGAGGGCGCCTTGGCACAACTGAGTCAGTAGCCCGAGCCATTTCCCTATTCCATTAGGCAACTTGGGCATCAACAGGAGGGCCATCAACAGCCGCTCTGCTTCCCATGTAGCACTTCTCTTATGCCCTGCCTGGTAGGGTGTGAAGAATGGAAAGGAGGGCTGGGGAGGGAAAGAGAAAGCAAGGGCAGAGGCTCGGAGGATGAAAGAGCAAGGAATGAGGAAGAGAAGAAGCAAGGCTAGGGGGTAAACAGAGAGACTTGGGAGAAACAAAGAGCTGGGCAACTGAAATAGCAAGCTGGGCGGGGAAAACAGCAAAGCGTCAGGGGAGAGGGGAGAGGAAGTGAGGGGACAGAGGCTGGGAGTGGGGAGAAACAGAAGAAGTGGTACAGGAAGAAATAAGCAAGGCTAGAAGCTCAGAAGGAGAGGCAAGCAGCAGGGCAAAGTGGGGAAGGGGAGAGAGAAACCAGGAAGAGGGTGGGAGGAAATGATGTTCTTAGGTTAGAGGCTGATGGTGCAGGGGGGAAGGGGGGCAGCTTTGTGTGGGAAGACGAAGCAACTCCTTCCTTCTCTTCCTGCCCAGCAAACAGCTGATCAGTGACAGGTTCAAGAACAGGAAGGAGAACCTGGTATCTTAACATTTTTCAAGGCATTTTTTATTTTAAAGAACGAAAATGCAAGCAAAGCCTCATGAGTGAATCCCAAGGGCACCTGCAAGCTCCATGCAGGGGATCCTGGTTGTTAAGAACATCAGCTTCAGGTGCTGGTCCTATGTGCAGACCAATGAGGAAGAAGCAGGCAGCATGGGCAGGGAGTGAGGTATCTTAGGATTGAATTTCAGGCACAGTGGCTGATGGGATACATGCCAGCAGCAGGAGGACTAAGCAGAGAGGATGGAAACCATGATAACATAGAAACCACTTGATGGTCTGTTGGGTTGATAATGGTGAAATAACATGAACTGTGGTAACTGTGCAGGGTTGCTTGCTTTGTGTGAACCCAGCCAGTGTCATTCATAATCTGTGGGCATTTTATCCTGGTCCAGTCTTCCTCCATCACTGCCAACCCCTTACCTGCCCTGACCTCACTGGATATGTGCAAGTTCACTTCCGTGATTGGCTATTTTAATAGCAAACTCAACTGGTAAGCACCAAGAGGATTTTGTGGCCTCACCTGATGGGTGCTCCCGCCGCTGGTCCATCCGATCCAGGCTTTCCAGCAAGCTGTCCACCTGGGCTTTAATCTGGCTTAATTCTCCTTTGATGGAGTGCAGCTCTTCTGCTCTCACTGGAAGAACAAGAAAACATTAGTGCATTGAGTTTCAGTACAGGCATCCTGAAGAATTCTCAAGTGCAAAGTCATCGGCTTAGTCCTGAAGCTCATTGATTCCCTCTTGGAGGGCAGGGCCAACATCATGGTTGGGCACCTGCCAAGGGCCCACACCCAGCAGAGGCCCATTGGCAAAAGTCCCCCGGATTTGGCCCTCCTCTTCATTATCGCGGCTTCCTTGTTCACCTGCCTCTTACTGCGGTCCAGACTGTGGTGTGTGAAGAGGAGGAGCACCAGCTGCCACTATTTCCTTGCTCACTGGGGCCCTTCCTGTCTGGCAAGCAAGTGCTAGCAATGATGAGAAAGAGGATGAGGAACAGGGGACAGAGGGTGGGAATATAGATGCCATGTGATATGACGTGAGAAGGCACCGAATCGCAAACGGCACCCAAGGCTTGGTGACAGGGCAGCTTGGCGCCCAAGCCTCTTTTTGAGCCCCCAGACACTCACATTTTGTACGACCTGCTGTGGAATTGCTGTTGCCCCTCAGCCCCGAATGTGGGCCTGGGCTGGTCTTGCTCCCAGTCCCTAGGTGGCTCCGTCTGGACTTGATGGGAATGTGGCTGATAAGAGGAGGGATCTTTTGGTACTCGTAAACCCTGCAGAAAAGAAGAGCAGAAGAAGGGCTCGTGAGCACGATTATCTCAAAACAGGCGCTCACATTCAAAGCAGAGCTGCATATTGAGGCTGGAGTGTGTGCGGGAAGGCACTTCAACTGTTGCTATGGCAGTAGATAGGGAAAAAGCAGGCACTGAGGGAAGGGGACAAAATAGCAAACCCACCTGTATGGCAAATCATCTTTAAAAAGCTCACAGTCGTCATAGTCGAGGTCACAGCTGCTGCTGCAAAGGAGAGAGAACGCCAATCATTCTGTGCCATTTGCTTGCAAGGTTTCCCGTGCTGATTCCCCATGTGCACCATGTGATGCAGGCTACAGGCACACAGGGATGCCTGCATTTTTGCTCCAGATCCCGGGAGATTTGAACATGGGCTTCTTCAGGCCTAGAGCAATGTTGCAACCTGCACTTGGCTAAGTGGGTGTCATCCTGATGCATTGGACTACACCTCCCAGTAGTCCCGTGCCCAAGTTGGCTCTCAGTGAAGCCCCAGAAACACCTCATGTTGGAATTGCGTGCAGCGCTATTACAAGACGCCCATTTCCGTCTTTAACCTCCATCAGGTATGTCATGTAGGTACTCACGGTGCTTTGGTTCGAGCGAAGGAAGATTCTAAGCTCCCACCCATCCACCTAATTTTTGTAGCCAATGACAGTCACAGGTTTGCAATACCTTAGCAAGGACATGGTAAATAACGTGCTATGAAATACAGAGTATGAACGCTGGCGTGCATTTTGCCAGGTTATTTTTTAGGTGAGACCAATCCCCTTCAGTACCTGAGACACGTGAAGAACAAGGGCAGTGGACAAATTACCAACCCTTCTTGGCAGCCCCACAGAGTTGTGGGAACTGTTTCTAGAGGCATGATTTGGCTAAAACTGGAGGAAGTTAGGGGGTGGAGTTTGTGGATTCATCTACCTACACACCTTTTCTCCCGTAATTTGGCCTCAGGAAAAAGGTCCCGAGTTCATTGCATGCATGGAAGTTTGGAGCTGGGGGTTGAGTGGCATGCGGGGGCAGACCTGGAAGAATCCATACGGAAGCGCCAGGACCTGCATACAGCCAATGCAACAGCTTGAGTGTTCTTTAGGAGTGTTATGTATAAATCGACAGTTTATACCATTTGAAAATAGGAACCTCGTGCTTGTCAATTGTCCCAAGGCCTTTGTACTCATTTTCTGGAATGCTGGAAGGTGGAAGATGGTTTACTTTATACAGAACAATCCAGTTGAATTTTGCCTGCATGCTTTTCCTTATATTCCTTACTTTCCTTTAGAGGCAAAAAGCCAGAGGCTATTTGTTTTTAGTGAAAATAAGATTCCCCCAAAGGCCCCTGGGTATGATGCCAGTGGGTTCTGATGGGGAAACTGGTGCATGATGTTGTTCCGAACACTGGAGAGGTGAGCATTTTCTCCCCTGGAATCTCAAAAACACAAAATGGCTTTATTTCTTTCAGGTGGGGGGAGATTTCTGGAGGGGCAGGCAGCAAAAGCTTCTTAGTGAAGAATCTCACTCCTTCGGGGCAGAGCAAGCAGGCCCAGTGCTCTGCTGATCTTCAGTGTGAGCGTTCTGATGTTAAATTTCACGGTTGGCAGTTCCTTGCGCACGAACTGTCTACCCCGCCAGTCCAAATGAAGAAAGGAGGGAGGGAGAAATAAAGCTGTCAACAAATATACCTCCTCTAAGGAAAGCTGACATGCCTATAATAAATACCATGGCTCCTAAGCTAGCCACTTCGGGCAGGGGGAAAGAATGGGAAGCAAACGTTCCGGAAAGCTCGTTTGTACCGACTTGGTCATGACAATCATACGGCAGTGGGATGCAGAGGAGGACAATGTCATGGACCTTTGGTGTCTTGCCTGGAAGAGGAATTTTCAACAGGTGGAGCTTTTCTCTGCAGTATGTGGCAACCCACACCTGCCAACATTCCCCCTTTGCTACGCAACGACTAAATGGTACGAGAGCCCCGTATGGTATATGGTTGTGTCTCAGTTTCCTGGGAAACGAGCGAGGCCATGCCCTCCCCTGGACTGAATTGGAATGTTCCATTTTACAGGCTCCTGCAGCTCCAGCATTCCTGCCACTTCTCCCCCACAAGAGGTTTCACAAACGGAAAAGGCCACCCAGATCCGCTTGTTTCATCCAGGGACATGCCTGAATAAGAGGGGGTTGTGCTGTCCCTTGCACGGATCGTGCCTTCTGATTAGCATGCATAAGTGCACGCGCATGTTTACAGTTCTGTCCATGGAGCTGGAAAGCGAGCATCCCACAGGGGAGCGCGTGGGAGCAAAGTTGCCAGACATACGCTAGGAATGTTTTGCAGAATCCACTTATTTTTTTTCAGCTTCACTTCCTCTCGGAAGCCTCCCCCTCAGTGTGAATCTTCACCGTCAATCTCCAGAGCTTATGCCTTAATGCTGAAAGGAGAGGATTTTGTGCAGCTTTATCTGCGTGTCCACTCAGCTACTGTCACAGCAAAATTCCACGCATCAGTGTTGGGGCCCTGAGCACTCTGGCTTGTGCCTTCACCCCATGGATGTGGGCAGACTCTTCTTCTAAAAGAGACAGCCTTTAGTAAAAGGTGGTTTCTGAAAACCACCTGGATGCTTTCTGCCCCTTGCCCTACTCTGCCCGTGACTCAGCCATACAAGGCCTTCACAATCCATGTGATGCAATGAGGTGTCACCTTAGGTGTCACATTTGGGATGCAATTTAAGGGCAGCAGTCTGCCCAAAAGAAAAGATCAGTGGCAGCACTGGAAGAAGGAAACCTATTGAGGCCAGGATCTCCCAGGAAACACTCCCCCTTCCAAAATGTAAGACCTACTGATGAAGCCCTAATTCAAGGCCCATCTCACAAAGATGTCAGACTGTGCTTTCCACAGGAAGCAGAGCCTTCTTTGTCCCTAGATCTCAGGAATGTCTAGATCATTGTTCCTACAGATCTGGGGAATTTTCTTGCATGAGCTGTTTGTTTGGCTGGTTCCCTCTCTCCTGATTCTATTTCTTTCTGCTTTTTTGGATCTTCCATTTTGATCATAATTTTTACTCTGCTTTTATGATCTGTTGACTGTTTTGTACACTGCTTTTCAGTGGCAGCTGAAAAGCAGATTAGAAACTATAATAAAACTATAAAGCTGTGTTGGACATACAGACTTTAGCAAGCAGTTGTTTTTCAGTAGCACCTTCTTGACCAGTGTGCAAAAGCCACAGTTATACTGTGATGGAGCTAGATGGACTCATACTCCATGGAATGCACGATTTCTGACCATATTCTGTTTGGAATTGCACAACACAAACATGGAATTTGGAGCTGGGTACAAATATCATAATTCCTCAAATCTCAGCTGAACAGTAGAAAATATGTTGCTAGCACTGATAACTAAACATGTTATGTCTAGAAAATGCTTGATGAAAATATCAGGAGTCCAAGCAGAATAAACAAAACTTACAGTGCTAGATGTGGTTGTTTGCCTCTCCCCGTAACTATTACAAGCAGAAGAACTTGCACCAAGTAAATTTATGCTCATTGTCTTGCATAATTTAAGCAGACTATAGAATTCAGTTTTTCATGTCTGCATGATTATTTTTAGAGGAGAGATTATACATTGTCCTTCTCACAGCAGGCTTTTTCCTATGCTTTCTCCGGCTCCGGTGGATCAGAGCCCGGGTACCATTTCTGGAAGAGAGCAGCTGTGCTTAGTCAATAGCAGCAAAACGGCGGAAAAATATGTGTCACATTAGTGAGTAAACGATTTATTGTGGTGTGAGCTCTCAGAGGCAAAACCTTGGTGATGGAAGTAGGACACTGGGTGAGGCAGGCTTCTGTTTTGAAAATGCTCGTGCTGGAATAAATCCTATTGTTTCTGTGTGGTTCCCCCTCCTCCTTCACAGGCTTTTTGTATGCCTCACACACACAAGCGGCTGCCAAACCCATGCAGTGCCCGAATGGTGCTAGTGGAGGAGGCCGGAGAGTGGCGTGCTCGGCTCTCCGGATGTGTTACCCTGGAGGGCAGGACAAAGGGGTCTCTGGCATTTCAGAGGGATTTGAGAATGGCTCATGCTGGCTGGCAACAGCAACACCCCTCCTTTTAAAGGCACGGTGAGGCAGTGCACTGGCAGCTACAAGGAGAGATGAAGCCAGGAATTTGGGAAAAGCTCTTGTGGCGCAGCTATTGTTTGCCCCAGGAGTTATTTTGGGACTCTTTGTTCAGTCCTTTTGTTTTCCAAGTTTCCATCTGTTGGCTCAGCAGGCTGGACTCTTGGTTTCTTGCTCTTCCAATTACAGAAGCGGGTAGATCTGCGAGGCCACCCACCCTTCGGAATTCCAACGCCACCTGATCACCGTCGCGCCCCCCAGCATTTGCCCTCCTCTGGATCACCGGCAGAAGCATACAAATGGCACATTGATCTTACCACTAGGTTGCTCTCTCTGCAGATAACCCTGGGAAGCCAGGCCAGCTCCAGGCTTGAGGGGCCATGGCAAGGGAGCTCCTGGTAAGTCCCTGCCCTCAGCCTTATCCAGTGGCAACGCTCCTCTGATCAAGGCTGGGCAGCTTCCAGTGACACACTTCCCACAGTGCTCCTGAGCAGTGTTATGTGGGGCATTGTGGGAACTGTAAAATGGCTACTGACACGTGGGCCCCAGACAAAAGGCTGGGATAGCTAGTCTCCACCTGAGCATGGTGTACCCAGTAGATGTCTAAGGATATCGACCCTGCTGGGACCTGTATTTTTATGAGTAGAGTTACGATCTATAAGGAACAGTTCTCAGGACCCTCACCAGATTATGGTTCCTGGGATTCTTGCAGAGGGGTGGAGCCATTCATTAGATTGAAATAAAAATCAATATAAATGTGGTAGACCCAAATCCTTGGCAAAAGGAGCGTCCACTCTCGCAAGAAGGGGAGCTGATGCACACGAACGCAACAAGCAGCAGCCTTGCAGGCACAACATGCAGACTTTCCCTCTGCCTTTCAAGGGCAAAAGCTTAATGATTCCCCTTCTTTTGAATGGGAAAGCGAGCAAGATGCTTGGCTAGAAAGGCAGTTCCTGGCACGAGGGGGTCAGGCCTTGCTCTCCAACCAGTCACTCCTTGGTGAAGGAGGAACTGGCTCAGAGCCGAACTTGCTGCATGGAAAGCTCCCGGCTTCCCTGCCTGCAGAACTGCATGTTCAACAGTTCTCAGAACAGCTGCATATATACGTACTTGGCAACTTTTTAAAA